GACACACATATTGTTACGTACTAGTATTGTATTTCCATCCGTTTTCGCAATGGTTTTAAATCTTGTTTCAAAGTATCGGATGTTCTACTTCAATGACGAGCATTTCTGGAGGTTGGACATCGCCAAAACGGAATATTGAAATATTGTATCTATGAAGAAACGACAACACTAAAGTAGAATAGAAGTGTAGATAATGCAGTACGAAGTCGCCTTCTGGTTATATATGCTGGTGCTGAGACGGTGGGAACGGGATTCATTAAGCACGTAATAATAATAGTTAATAAATTTATATATCTCTTATGTTATGTAGAATATTATCTGTCATACATACTAATATATCGAAATAGTAAGCGTAAATTGATTGAACGATGTCAATCTTCTGTCAGAATAATATATTTTTTTAATCTAGATTTATAATTACATATAAAGTTAAAAACAACCGATCATGTATGAATTATCACTATTTACTCCAAGAACATTATCTATACTTATCTGTTGTGAAACAGTATCCGGTGTGTATTTATATAAAAATGTTTGAAACCAATTGAGGTCAGAAAATAGGTTTTTGTATTTACTTATTTTAGTCCAAATGCGATTTATAGATGTCATACGATTTTTTGATGAGCAGAATTCAGACCAACTTTTACAACGTTCTTCTTTTAAAGTGCGTTTTTTAAAGGCTTGTACTCGTTTGAAATTAATGTAATTTACTATTAAGACTAGTTTTTAAATTAATGTAGGCGTTCTTGCAGTCTTCTACTACTTTTGAACATTTATCATCCACCAAGGCACTTAACACCTTTTTCTAGGACGGTTATTATTACTATCAGTTGTGTTATGGTTTAAGCTGGGCCCGGAGAATTTGATTGCCAATAGAATAATTGCGCAAAACTTTCTGTATGAGTCAACGAGACCACTATTGTCAACTTTAAAGTTCATTAACATTTTATTAACAATTTGTTCATACCTATCCCAATTTACTAATTTCAGATTGCTGTGAAAAGGAATGTTGTTCAAGGGAGTAGAGGGCTCATGTTGATCTTTTACAAGAGTAAATTTTGTGATAGTTGGCAGATGATAACTGCCTCAAGGGTCCTGACGAACTTCCCAGTCACAAGAAATAAATAAAGAAGAAGACACCATAGTTAAATCTAGACTGTTTGGTTTCCAAATATGAGAGCCTATAGTTGTTGGTTGACCATTATTTAAAAGTATTAAGTCATGGTCATCCATGGAATCCATAATAGCTTTGCCCCGAGAATCTATGCGACTGCAACCCCAAAAAGTGTGATGGGCGTTAAAATCGCCTGCATTTATAAACGGTTTTGGAATACTGTACAATAAACGATCGAACTTCGCCTTTTCAAAAGCAGGAGAACTATTACCAGGACTGTAAAAACTAACCAAAGAAATGCATTTATGTTTCAGTTTAATAACAATTACTACATTTTGTAACGAATCGTCATAAAAAGTATCTAGTTTAGAGAAATGTATACCATTTTTAATTAATATTGCTACGCCATTATCATCATTACCGCAGTCATTCCTAGTAATGGTATAACCACGTAAATTAAATTGAATGTTAGGCTTGAGCAAAGTTTCTGATATAAGAGCTACATGTATATTATTTTGGTATAGAACATTTTAAAACTCAAGTCTGTTACTATAACAGAATTTGAGCTTTGAGTGTAACTGTACAATATATAAGATTTGGTGGTTGAATGTGACGATTTGCTATTTTTATCCTGGATGGTTTCTTTAATAGCTGAGCTAATAAATTGTGAACTAATACTTATATTTTGAGTTATATTTAGAGTTATAACTTTTACTATAGATTCTGTTAATAGGGTCATTGCTTCAGAATTTAATAGTATTGCTTGGATTACTTAATTTTTTTTAAGGGAGGGAGAATTTAATGAATTTTTTAACGTGTCAGCATATGACTTGGGTTTACTGTTTGCGATTTTCTTTTGCCTTATAGGGCACTGGTTAGAGATGGCAATGTGATTGCCATTACAATTAATGTACTTAGCTTTTTCAATGTTAACCTTGCATTCTTTGAAAGAATGCCCCTCTGTGCATATGGAGCATCGCGGTGTATTTTTACAAAACTTAGCCAGATGATCAAAGCGTAAACATTTAAAACACTGTTTTACATATATAGGTGGGACATATGTGGAGACAGGCAGGCGCCACATCTTAATGTGAACATAGTCCGGCAGTGACGTAGACGTTTATATATTTTGTGATTGGATAGATGAGTGGGAACCGAAGAGATAACTTCCGATAGTTCGGTGGCCCCTGCTGGTATTGAAGCTTTAAGTCGTTGTTCCTTTAGATATGTAGTATTTTCTAAAAAGGCATTTGCCAAATTCACACGTTGGAAAACAACACCGACCTTATATTTATTATTTTTTTTAAAATATTGTATACCTTTCACAGAGCGTATGAAACTAGTACTAAGCAACATCTTGTCCCTATTACCGAGTGGGACGTCATTAGTACTTTCGACAAATACTATGAATTCAGATTTGACTTCCGCCTCTTTAGAGTATCGCCGACATTAATCAGCGACCCTAAAGGGAGCGAAGGCATTTTGCATCCTGCAATACTGGCGAATCCTCGCAATCGGAATCGCTGCTTGTGCTGAAAGGCAAGGACTCAACCGAATCCTTCTTTTTACGTTTTTTCACCATCTCTCCACATAAACACTTATATACAGACTAAGTTTTACTTTTTTACAATTAACTAAACAAAAATTTGCAAATTATATTATAAAACGATTTAAAATAAGTAAAATTTTCAAAAAGCCCGCGTCAATGTTTCAATTTCCGCCCTCTTTTTTCTAATCAATAGTCACTTTAACTGTTGTAAATGATTGTTACTTATGTTTAAAAGCGATAGGTACAAGGAATAAAAAAGCACCTATGATTATTATTTATCTAAAGATTCTTGTAATAAATGAAAAATATTTGCACACGAATGTTTTTTATTGTGCAACAAATCATAATGTTGACCGCATATTATAATCCGCCTAATATTAGTCAAAGTTGTTTTCTGAAAAACTTTTGTCATTGCGTTGAGGAAAAAACTTAGAATATAGATCATTTTTCAACCTAAGTACATAGGTATTGTTTCTGGGTATATTTTGAATATACATAATTATCTTTGTACGGGAACTTGGCCGCTCGTACACTTAATAAAATGATATAAATTGATATAATGCTTCTTACTTAGTTTGATTAATTTGATATCTAATATATAAAATTCTCGTGTCACAGTTTTCGTGCCCATACTCCTCCGAAACAACCTGACCGATTTTGATGAAATTTTTTGTGCTTATTCGGTAGCTATGAGAATCGGCCAACATCTATTTTTCATCCCCCTAAATGTTAGGGGTAGTCCACCCCTAAATTTTTTTTTTATTTTTTAGACAAAATTTTTAATTACTATTTTTTTATGATACAACGTACAAAAATACATACAACCCTAAATTTTCACCCCTCTGAGATCAACCCTTATTTTTTATTTGTTAATTAAAAACTTTAATTTTTTCGCAATTTTTTTTTTATTTTATGATTGACTTACAATAAAAAATCTCATATTACTCTAAATTTTTCACCCCTCTACGATCAACCCCTATTTTTTATAAACATATATTTTTTAAACATATATTTCTTGATTATAAGGCGATACGAAGTTCGCCGGGTCAGCTAGTAATATATATGATGATTGATTGTTGAGAATATACTTGGTGACCGAATGCGAAATGAATTAAATTATGTTATCGAGGTTTTATAATAGAACAAGAATGGTGATGCCTGCATTTACAGTATTTCGTAATTTTGTAATGATGTGTGTATTTACATGATTTTGCAATTATGTCTAGCGTAGCTTGTACAATCTTCTTTAAGAAATCACCTAAAAGTTTTATAGATGCCAACCCATGTTCAGACGGAAAGCTCACGTTAAATATTGTATTGAAAGAAATTATAAATATTATAGTAAATTTTTAATTAAAAGTTATCAATGTCGTTTAGAGTTTATTGTATACACTAGACAGAGTAGGTACTACAGCAACTTGAAGGTAAGGTAGTAGAGTCCACGAATGATGTTACAAGGAAGATAGAAACTGAGTGTTGTAGACAAAAGACATGGGCTCGTTGTAACTACATTTTAATTTCAGTAATTGGTTCAGTGTTATGAAGGAATGACGAAAGGAAAATAATAAGAATTTAAAAATACATTTATTTTTAATATTTAACAAGTTTCGTTAAAATATCACATAAAATTGATAATTTTATAACAGTGAATATGAAACAGTTATCTTATAAAATAGTCCCTATTTTTTTTCTGCTTCTTCGTCGGTTCAAGTGCCTATTAAACATGTTCACATATCTTTAGGAACCGAAGCTTGTACCATAACTTATCATATGTAGCACGCTTCATGTTAGAGCTTGGCTCGTCTCTGAGAAGCGGAGTGATCAGTCTTAAGGATCGCCTTCACCAACAATATACAAACAAGCGTTTAAAATATTGCTTCTTAGGAAGACAGTAACGTTACAGTGAGCACTCGTTATGGAATGTTATAATTCTTACAATACTATTCATTATTCTTACACAACACACGGGGAGCGCCAGCCCGGCGCAAGGTCGTCGTAAATATCTCATAAAATATATATCCCTATAGAACTCACACCCGCCAACACGAACAAGTCTACTTTAAAATTTGGCAAAATCCTACAAAAATATATATCACAATGTAAAACAACACAACGATCATTCAACATCACACACATTACACAACAACAGGTCGCTCTAGCTTCTGTGGACGTCCGACATCGAGCATAGTAGAGAATATATAACTAAAAGAAAGGTCCGGTGCAGCATCACACAGTATGTACAGGGAACGATCAGTCCGGGTCCTTGGAGAAGTAGTGCAGCAGTTCCTGGAGCGTCGGGATGGGCTGCTCGAGGTAGCGGGGCGAGGGGCGCGCGGCTCACAGCAGCGCGTGCGCGGGCAGCAGGCGCACGGCGGGGGCGCGCGCTCCGCCGTCCGCGCTCTCCCACGCCAGCACCGTGCCGTCCGCGAAGCACGCGAACAACAGCTGGGAGTCGCAGCTGAACGTCAAGCTGGAAAATCAAACATGTGAAGTAGATGTAAAATAGGTAAATGTACAATTGAAATAAATGTATAATATAATAGACCAGTGCCGATAGCTTTTAAAACATAATTAAATTATAGTAGAATGGAACTCATTAGAAAAGGAGGGGAATATTATAAAAATTGAAGGAAGAATAATTTATGGGCGATTTAATAGTTGTGTACTCTGGAAGTTCTCCAGATAGTCCCTCTTTTAGGTAATTTACAGAAAATTGACATTAAGCTGCTAAACCTATTAAAAATAAATTAGAAAGAGCATTTTCAAAACGATGTCGAGTGTCATTTCATTAAAAGAGACATGATTATTTAAGTAAGTAAGAAACTTATATATTTTTCTTCACCATCGGAAAATAGAGATTTCAACAAACAGAAAACACAGCAAATTTTTGAAAAGAGCTGACATTTTGACGGGTGATTTTTCGATTGAAAATGAGGCTGATTTTTCGGTATTTATTCAAAATAAGCTGAAAAATTAAATATTTCTTATCAAATAAATTACAGTGCATTTGGACCATCAAAAGGAAAGTTTTCAACAAATTTCGTGATAAAAAATTGTTTTTTGGAAGAGATAAAAATAAAAAACAAAAAACTTGGTTTTTCCAATTTTTCACATAAAATTTGAGATTAAATGAAAAAAATGTTAGTACAAAAGTTTTAGATCTTTTTATCACCTACAACTTTGCCATATAACTTTTTTCCGTAAGACTTTTAGTTTTGTCGAAAATCGAGAAAACCCATTTTTTACCCTTAAATACCCACCCACATAACCCACCCTTCCCGACCTCAGATCGTCCGTAAATTATTTTTCCTTTAATTTTTATAATATTATCCTCCTTTTCTAATGAGTTTCTTTCTACTATAATTTAATTTCACTTTTCAATGTTTTTAAAGGCATCTGCACTGGCCTACAACGAGAATAAATGTGTAATAAAATTGTAAATTAAATGTAATTAGCGTATAAGGAATAGATATAGTATAAAATAAATGAAATTGAAATGCAATGTATAATAAAACAATGGTATCAAATAATTAATTAGGCCCAAGAAAGCACCCCCTACCAATATCGAAAATAAGAATAAGTACACAATTAGTAAGAATAAGTATGAAATATAAGCGATAGAAAGATACAGTATGTAGCATGAAAGGCCCGAATATAAGCGAGAACTGGTATCAAAGGAAACTGCAAACGAAGACTCTGACCAACTCAGAGGGAGGAGATAAAAAAAGAACGTCACACTGTTACTGTATATGAGTGAAGATACCTGAGCAAGGGGTGAGGGCGCGCGGGCGGCAGGAAGGCGACGGGCCGCAGGTCCCACGACGAGAACAGGCGCACGCCGCCCGTGGACAGACCCACCGCCAGCACGTTGACGCTCACGCCCTCGGGCGCCAGGGAGTAGCACGCGCACGACACCGGCTCCGACACGCGCACGCTTCCTGAGGAACAAGAGGCTTTGGAATCGGTTCACTACGAGGAGGAGAAAAATGTGGAGCGAACACTCACCGACGAATCTCGCGTTGACGGTGTGCACGCGGACCAGCGACCTGTAGCGGTAGGAGCTGTCGCGCTCGTACTCGCGGTTGTCCGGGGAGCCCGCGCCGGGGGGCGGCGGCTCGTGCACCGTGGCCACGTCGCTCAGGGTCTCACTCACGGCCACGCAGCGCACGGACAGCTGGGCGCGGTTGGGCAGCGTGCGGATGTACGTGAGGCTGGAGGAGGGAGGAGAACACTTGTTATATAACATGCACACCTCGGATATGGAAAATATTACATTACTAGTAAACCTGGCGAACTCCGTTTCGCCACCAGAAGCCTTTGTTTTACGTAACATTTCGTTTGGTGATTAAAAGATGAAGAATTTTTTTTTTGTTTTATATTTGAAAAGGATACACTTTATTTCATTTTACAACAGTAATGAATTCATTTCGATTACAAAAATGAAGTGTTATTTAGTTGAACTTCTCTAAGTAAATGAAAGTGAATCCAAAGTAGATACCGAAGCGAAGCGTTATACGTGTCCACAAATTATCCGTTTCATTGAAGTGCTCCTTTGTAAACCACATTTTCTGTTTTTTGATCTAACTTTAATACAAATAAAGCGAATGGTTTCCAAACTCGTGAATACGCAAAATATAACGCCCATGTAAAAAACAAAGTTTTTTCTAAATTTATCAAGCAAATACTAAAGGGTTTTTAAAGTTTAAACTATAAACACAATACATGAAATTAACTGAGTTGAAATTAACTGAGAGAACAATGAGTAGCTACTATCTACTTAAAATATTGATTTGTAGTACATGTTATGCATGATGGCGCTGTATGTGAAAAAAGATTTTCCCGCTTTTCTGTTGAAATTTTTTGTTATAAACCTCACGGAGCCCGAGACCTTTTCAACGAATGCAAAACCGTGGAAATTGGAATGATCAGGATGGAAAACCGGACTTATTTTTATATAGTAGATGATTTCTCACAAATATCTAATTGTCATCAAACTCAAACTCAAACAACTTTATTCAATATAGAAGCATTACACTTTCTTATTGATGGTCACTTGAGACACTACCACCGGTTCGAAAAAGAAAATACCCTGACCTGAGAACAACCGGCGAAAGAAACTCAGCGGGTTTATTTTTAATATATATATATATTTGTCTCATATATTATATACACAATTTAATATGAGATCATCACGTCATTACATATCTGTCATTATACGTCAAATGTATAGCTGTCAATTGTGATTCGTTATTGTACGTTTTATAGTGACTGACGTTTCATATCAAATCCCACAGGAAAGCTGTCGAATGGGATAAAAAGTTTGCATCCTATTGCATTTTCCTGGCACTAAGCTACCTCCCTGCCAATTTCCAGCTAAATCGGTTCAGCCGTTCTTGAGTTATAAATGGAGTAACTAACACGGCTTTCTTTTATATATATAGAAATATTGTAACGAGAGGAACGCACTCGTTGAGATCCCACAGCACGACGACGCCGTCCACGGAGGCGGTGACCAGCAGGCTGACCCGCGGACATAGCGCCAGGTCGGCGATGGGCGCCGAGTGGGCGTGAAGGGCGCGGTGGGCGCGAGGCGCGGGCCGCAGCACCAGCACGCGACCCGACGACAGGCCCAGGGCTCCGACCGCGCCCCAGCTGCCGCCTGCGGCGCCGGCCTCCGCGCAGCCAGCCACCGCCACCACGGACTCCAGGGTCGACACGTGCAGCATCAGCTCGGCCGGGCCCTCCCGCCGACGACGCAGGCGCACCGCGCCGTCCGCCGGGCTCCACCACGCCGCACACAGAGCCTCGCCCGCCGCACCGCTCGGAGTTACGGCCGATGAAGGAGTCAGGTCGTCTGTTAACACGTGCGGACTAGCTTTTAGTGTGGTCGGCATAGATATTAGAAATAGCAAACATTAAAGAATAAAATTAAAATAAGAATAAATAATGTGCATAGGTTCAAAAATCCAATTTGTGGTGTTTTTGCCCCTATTTACATTATTTACTTAGCACCCTTAAAAAATAAGTAAAATTAAAAGCAGAACATATATTCAAAACTTAATTTTTTCTTTTTGTGAGTATTACAATATGTAATCGCTTGGACTTTAACATTATCCTCATTATTCGGACAATTTGTAAACTTTCCTGTAAGCAGCCTGTTAACATTGGTGCACCAAATATGAATTATTAAATGTATGATATAATTTAATAAAACTCCTTTAAGGTTTTTATGAGTTTCGCAAGAAAGAAACGAAAAATCACAATATAAATCAGCTTTTTGGATATTTTATTTCAATCCTATATAATTTAGCATCTTCCTGATAACTATTGAACGAGTCAAAGAGTTTATCTACAAGAAGCAGCAGGTCAGCTGCGGCGACATACTCTTTTGGCAAAATATTATGATCTGGAAATAAAAAATATATAACAATTATTCTTAGACATAGGCCTTATCATTAGATAGATAGATAGATAAACTTCTTTCTAAATTTCTAAATCTGTGGATTAAATTTATATTGTATTTAAAATGCTTTATGCTGATTTATAATTTGAAAGTAAATATAGCATTCATAGTTAATTTTAAGCTTAGTTATATGCCCATAACTTACCTATAGGAAATGATTGAGAGGAATTAGGAGAACTCCTTTGTACCTGAACTTGATTCATAATTAAATCCAAGTGGTGATTACAAGATGCGTCATTGTCTTCTTTTTGTGTATCAATGCATTTTTCAGTTTCAACAGTATGTGATGAGTGTACAGTCTCAATTGTTGATGCTGCTAAATAAAATATTATTTTTAATACATTTAAATATATTAAAAGAGAAGTTAGATGTTGAAGAAAAGTTGAATGATAACATTGTCTTGATCGTGTCTTCCTTCGTTTCTTTTAGAGTTTCTTATTGAATGTAAATAAACTTATAATTTTTACTGAATTAAACACTGCTATTCTTATATTACATAAAAAACTATAAACAACTTTTTTGGTTTGTAGTTATCCAGTGAAATTATAATCTCTGCATATTTAGAACACTTTGTTTATGTTTTACCTATGTAAAGAAGTTACACAAGTAGTTATTTTGCAATACTGTTTGTAGGCACTTTCCTTTATTTAGATAAAAAAGGTAATAAAGACCGCACATTATAAATCTATCAAACCAGATGTAAGTATATAAAAATGTTAAGATGACTTGTATACCTATTTCATTATATTCAATTAAATCTAATTTTTTTTGTTTCAAATTTTTTATTATGAGAACCAATTTCGAAAGTAATATAATGTAAAATATTATCTATACCTAGTTATAAAATATAATTGATTATTTGTAGTTTTTTATTATATTAGTAGTATGTATTGTGTGCCTATAACTACTTGGGAAGTTGCTTACTTTAGATACTTACTTAAGTATAGAGTTGGTACAGCATTTTGAGTGAGTCGTTTACTTGAAGAATGGTAAAACTGTTCAAAATGACGATCACATATTCTTATATTGTTATAAATATAAAAATCTTCCTTTTGTTTCTTGTCTTCATTTAAAATATTTTTCCATTGAATGAATTTCTCCAAATTTGGGTATTCAGGTTTAGGAAATTGATGAAAAGGACCTGAAATGTTTTTATTAGAAGCCAATAAACTGTTACGGTTGAAATTGATGTAACAAGAGTAATAAGTAGTATATAACGGGTGTCCCAACAAGAACGCAATTTTTAACTTTGGCTCCATTTTAAGTGCCATTGTTTGACATTTGAACAATTGTTATTATTTGCTTGTAGAAGGTACAAGGTTTGTAAAAATGGAGCGCTACACGAATGAACAACGCATTTTCATTGTAAAGTTGTTTTACCAAAATAGTGAAAGTTTTGCGGCTACAGTTCGCAAATTACTCAAAAAGAGTCAACTGTAAAGAGATTAATGAATAAATTTGCCGGAACTGGGTCTGTTAGTGATGTAAAGACAACAATAACGCAAACAGTCAATGGTGTTCGATATCGTGAAATGATTACCAGTTTTTTCTTGCCTAGAATCGAAGCAATGAACGTGGACGGCATGTGGTTTCAACAAGTCGGCGCCACATGTCATACAGCCAGAGAAACAATTCAATTGCTGCATCAGTCATTTCCTGGTCATGTTATTTCCCGTTTTGGAGACCAGAATAGGCCGCCTAGATCGTGCGATTTAACACCTTTAGATTATTTTCTTTGGGGTTTTTTGAAGTCGATGGTTCACGCGAATAAGCCGACGACGACTCAAGCCTTAAAAGAGGAAATTGGACGCTGTATTAATGAAATACCGCAGTATTTATGCAAAACGGTCCTAGAAAATTTCATTCAAAGTTCGCGCGTGTGCCTACAAAGCCGCGGCAGCCACCTGCTCGATATCTTGTTCCATACATAACCTCATTCTATCTACTTTACGATATAATAAAGTTTCACGATATATTTTTTTAATATCTGTGTTTTATTTAAAATTTAAAAATTGCGTTCTAGTTGGGACACCCTATATAAATATATATATGACAAATAATATATAGTATCGTACCTTTAGTCGCACATCGAAAATAACACTTAATCGCCGATATTCGTGGCATTTTTTCAACTTACCGGTAATCCAAATTCGTGGTTTGCAATCAAAATCCAAATGAGAAAAGCCGGGGTCGATCGTCAAAAGCGTTAAAATAGGAATCAATGATATATTAAGCCGGGTCAAATGTTTGAAAAAGAACGTACAGGAAAAGAACAACAGTAAACAACTGAAATAATTTAAAATTTGCCCTAATGTCAAATCAATTTGAGAGCTACTTACGCCATATATGAAGTTATAAAGGAAAATAGTGACAAAGTTGTTGTAACTTGTTCGTTAGATGACAGCACTTTCTATACATTAATTTCTTACACGTTAATTATATGACAATTTCATCCCCATGATGGTCGGAGGATCTGCGACCGACTCATGAGGTTCGTTCCGTAGACTCACCATCCAACACCATGAGCATGCTAGTCTTTTGACATGCGGCGACCGCGCGGGGATGTGCGAGGCGCTGCAGCCGGACGGCTCCGGGCAGGGAGCGTCGAGCTACCACGGCGGGCGGTGCGCGCTCCGGGGAGCCGCAGTAGCGTCCCCAGCGCGCGCCGCACACGCCGTCCCACACGCCGACCGTGTCCTGGCGCGGCAGCAGCTCGGGCGCGCGCTGAGGGTGAGGAGTACGGAACAGCTGGCGCGGCGCCTGGCCGTACGTCCGCACCATAGCCGCTGCCGCCGTGCGGTCCAGCTCGTCCTCCAGCGACGACGGGTCGAAGCCGTAGTACGTCTACAACAGAGAGCGAGTTGGGGCTGAAAAGGAGACGACCCAGGCGAGAGAGGGAGGAGGGAGGGGAGGGGAGACTCACGCAGGCGGGGAACACGTTGATGGCGTCGATGGCGGCCTGGCCGGTCTGCTTGTAGCCGAATACGAGGTCAATCCACAGAGGGAGGCGCTCGGCCACCAGCGGCGCCTCCAGAGCCTGGCGGTGCACCAGGGTGAAGAGCCGCGCGTCCGCCGCCCACTGCGGCAGCTCCACGTCGTCCACGCGCGCGCCGCACTGCCGCACGCCGAGCGCCAGCCCCTCCGTGTTGTAGAACAGCTCCGGCAAGTAGAATAGCTCGGGGATCAGCTCCTTAACGTCGGTGGGCGAGTCCTGGGTGATGAGGCGCCACGTGGTCGCCAGGGAGTGGAACGTTCGGTCCGGCATATCGAAGTTGTTATCTGACAACGAACAGCGGAATAAAATATAATAACAAATATAATCAGTTTTTGGGTATAATAATAGATAAATATACTGGAAGAATCATATTGAAAATTTGTGTACCAAAATTGATAAATTTATATATGCATTAAGACGTATAAGCCAAATAGTTTCTGTTTCAGCAGCAATTACAGCTTACCATGGATATGTTGAATCTTTGCTAAGATATGGTATTGTATTATGGGTGTTCAAGGCGATAAGGCTCAATGTTCAATGTGCGGAAATATTTGTAATGAAGAGACGTGTGAGAGTTGTAATGGTTGATTAGTAACTGACTAATATTTAAAAGGGCAATGTCCATTTTTGGCCTAGCGTGAACAAGCTGCTATCAAACAAACAAGTTTATGAAAAAAAAAAATTTTTTTTAGCTAGCCATTCTATTGTTGTTTGAGTGTACATTTGTATTTTATTGAAAAAATATTTTCAAAGTATCTTCATTGATTTGCTTTATTGATCCACGTTTTGTGCTACCAGCAAGATCAATTAACGATTGCGTTAAATCGAATGATCTCGCAGTACTTAATCTATACTAATATTATAAAGCTGAAGAGTTTGTTTGTTTGTTTGAAAGCGCTAATCTCCGAAACTACTGGTTCGAATTGAATAATGCTTTTTGTGTTGGATAGTCCAGTTATCGAGGAAGGCTGTGGGCTATATAACATTACGCTACGACCAATAGGAGCAAAGATATAGTGGTAAATGTGTAAAAAACGGGAGAAATTATTTCATCTTTGAAGCCTACCGTTGCGTGCGCCGTGAAAACGGTTCAAGATACACAAAAAATATGTACTAAAGAATAATAGCTCTTTTAATAATAATAATAATAATAAACTTTATTGCTTCAGATAGGTCGTATACATATTTTTAGGAGATACAAATTATTCATACTGGCAAACAATTTCTTTTTCTTAATTTACCACTCGTTTTCATTGACGACCATATCGCAATTGGTTACAAGCTCAGCTATGTGCTGTGCTATGCCCAGCGCTGATTTTCAGCTTGCTCCTTCCACATTATGTTGACGTAGTTAACAGCGCCGCACCGTTCCGTAACACATTAAAGTAATACAAAAAAAAGAACTAATATTATTATAGAACACAAAAAATAAACAAACAAAAAGTAAACAAACGATTTCTCCAGCTTACAACTAAATTTTAAAAACAAACATTAAAAAAACGACAAAAACTTAATACACGCACATCTTCGCATCATAACAACTATAACTTTTATGTGTACATCATGACTAGGACAATTGAAACTATGATTAAATAAAATAATTAGTACATTATATACATTTATAAAGTTGTTTTTCTTACGTAGGTGCTTCTACTTGTAGACGTAGGTAATATTCTTTAAGGTGTTTTTTTAAAGTTACAATTGAGAAATGACAATCACAATGATAAAAAAAACAGACCGCGACAGTATATGTCTATCTTTTAAGATTAACTAACAAAAACCCGTTTTTATGGTACCTAATTTGGTCCAAATAATTTGTTTAAGTTGTATCAACAGAATAATATTAATCTTTATTCAAATAAACAAATAAATATTTTGTTGGTTAAGAGCACTTCATTGTGAATAAAAAAAACATAGGTTTATTCTGAAAATTCTACGGGAACTCGACCATTCCGAAAACCCCGCAAGAACGGGAACTATGTGGGAAGAACCAAAAATCTGCCGGAAGTCACTATTCCACGCGGACGAAGTCGCGGCAAAAGCTAGTACAACTATAAGTATTTAATACAAAAAAATTAATAATATTAGTTTTTAATTAGTTTCGTCATTTAAAACGTTTTTTAAACTGAAATATGAAGAATGTTAAACGTAATCATATCTGTTTTCGATCGATTTTTTAATGATTTTTTTCCATTGCAACACTAATAAAACAAAAAAATACAAATTGACATTGATATGTCACAGACTGTTTACATTCGCTTTGTTTACCTACGTTGAGAGTGTTGATTTATTATGGATTTTCTTTTAACGATTGTTTATTCATTATGGACTCCGACCTATCTTTTTCCAATGACCCCTGCACATCTACGGACCCCGAATTTCGCTCAAACGATGACCCTGGCTTTTGTATTATGGACTCCGATCAAGGCATAAACGACGACCAACACTCACGTAATATGGACCCCGAAACTAGCTCCATCGCTAACCACGGCTTTAATATGGACGTTGAACAAAACCAAAGCGTGTCTCATGATAGTCTGCACACAGAAGAAGTGACTTCTTACCAATCCGTATCTCTGAGATGCATAAACTGTGGAACTGATTTGATAGAGCGAAGGCGACTTAGTCTAGATCTTAATCAGGTTCAGTCTCTTATAAGACAGTGGATAGCTCCTCGACGAGTAAGTGTCAATTCAATTAATTATTTAAATTACTCGTTTTATAATAGATATGTATTGTATATGCTATTCCTATAATGCAAAATGGTTTTATTGTTTATATAATTATAATCTTTACATACTGTTGTATTATAATAAATAAAAACATGTTTACTCCTAACACATTAGCTGACTTTGTTATCGAAAATAATTTAAATAGAAGGCGGGCAGATTTTCAACCTATAAATGTAAACATGGACAGTTTCATATTTCCAAGAATAGAATATAGTGATCTTATATTAATTGCATGTGGAACGTACCAACTAAAACAAGCTTGTTTGTATTATTGGTTGACTACCCGACTAACCTATTGGTTGACTACCCGATTCCTTCGGCCAACTGCAGATTATTGCATGGAAAAATACAAAGCAGGCATGTAAGTCGAAATTATATTTTATATATATATTATATGAAAATAATCACAATGGTAAGGAGGCTATAAAAGAATATTAATGTAATTGCATGGTTGGCCGAAGGACAGTGGGTTGCTGCGCTTATGTAATTTTATGGTTTTTATGTTGGGCAAGGTATCAGGAACACATTTCACCAGCTATCCAATTTCTTGAACACATATTAATAACATATGATGTCTCAGAATAAAAATAAATCATAAAAAATGTTGTTTTATTTCGCTTTAACCTGTTTTTCCTCACATGGCAAAAATCTCTTTTTATAAACATTTTGATACAAAATTAAGTTCATATTCTCATTATTATAAGTTAGTGCTTTTAAACTAATTACAAAAAATATGATAAAAAGTCTGTTCACGTCAGGCCAAAGTCCCCATACTAAGTGGACAATCTCCTTTACAGTGCTGTGGACTGTATCTCATATACCCACATAATTGTGAATACAAATATGTAATATTAATTTATTTCTAACAAAGGGCGAGCCAATCAGCTGTGTCTTATCTTATCTGTGGACTTGCATGTTGCATTTAAGACACAAAAAAATGTATAAGAACTATTTATAATAACCATTTCACCGAGAGCTGTAAACCTATATTTAAAAGTCTAAATATATTACCCGTTCCTTGCCTATACATATATGAAATTAATATATTCGTTTATAAAAATATATATTTGTTGAAACGAAACTGTGATGTAATAAATACGCGTAGCAGATTTAAAGACAAACTGTATGTTCCAGCTCAACGATTATCTTTGTATCATATCAATATATACTGCATGGCCATACGCATTTACAACCACCTACCCAGAAATTGTAAAGAATTGTCTTTCAATTTATTTAAGAATTATTGTTTTAAATTACGGATAGATAAACTGTATAAATGAATTTCTTAACGACAAATTTTAAATTATAAATAACATTGTAATTTTATTTTAATTAATTGACAAATAACTATTTATTTATAATGATGATATTGAAAATTATATATTTAAATTGTAAACTATAAACTTTATATTTGTGACTGTAGTTATTTCATTAGTAGTATTATTAGTTTTTTCAAAAATATTTGCACGCCAAATCGGCAAAAAATGTTGGTCCACTGTAAATGTATGAAATACCTTTGTTAACCCATATTCGAGCAAATAAACTATTATTATTATTGTTATGTCCTGGCTCGTTGGTCTCTCTTTAAGACCATACAAAAGAAAAATCGCTCACCTTGATAGTTAATGAACAGTTCAGTGAAGGGTGACAATCGCACCAGGTAGTGAAGGACCCCGCCCGAGTTGGAGTACAGGGAGGCGTAGTGATGGGCCTGGCGAGACACCAGGGGGCTGCAACCCTCGCGACGGGCCGCCTTCAGGTCCTGAGAACGAGAAGGATTAGAATATACACGTGGGGAGAATGAGCGTCGGTTTAGTCGAAACACTTACATTATAAGTGTTTATGTAGTGCTGCTCCCTGTTCTTGTTCTGGACGGCCATCGGTTTGCTGAGGTCGCGGAAGGACGCGGGGTCCGTCAGGTCCAATATCTTAGACGCATAGTCGGCGATGACGAAGGGCAGCACCGGGTACTGCATCAGGTCATTGTAGGAGCGGCCGGCGAGCCCGTTCAGTATCATGAGGTACTCCCAGTTGGTGATGGCCCCGGAGCGCCACTGCTGCACGGCCTCCGCCAGCGAGTCCCGGTCGCCGGGCGGCGGTCGGTGCGCCCGCTCCAGCTGCTGCAGGAACATGGCCCGCTCCGCCTCGTCCGCGAAGGCTAGCAACAGCGCGCGGCCGCAGCGCAGGAACAGCTCCAGCGCTCGTTCCTGCAGGCACCAGCGCCGCGTGGCCACCCGCCGCAGCGCCCCCAGCGACCAGCTACCTCCGGCCGCCTCCCCCCCCGCGCCCGTGTCCGCGTCGCTCTCGACCACGAAGTGCAGGCAGCGGTCGGTGAGGAGCAGCTCGCCCGGCGTCTCCCGCGCCACCGTGACCCGCAGCACGCGCGCCATGTACACCACGGTCTCGCTGAGCTGCAGGCGAGCCGCCAGCCCTCCGCGCGCCCCCGCGCCCAGCACGCTGCGCAGAGGAGGCGGCCGACCGGCGCTCTCTGGAAAAAGGCAGGTCGTCAGTATGAACACGTAATATGTAGATAGATTTAAGTATTTAGTCGTAAACATTGATAGTAATTTTAATTGGAAGATACATGTAAATGATGTTTGTAGCAGGTTAAGATCATTATTATGTAAACTTTATCAATTAAAATCGGTGTTAAATAAACATACGTTAAGGATCGTGTACTTTGCGCTTGCTGACTCGTTGAGTTACGGACTAATTGTTTACGGGCGAACGTTTATGACGTATATAAAGGACGTTAAGAATTTACAAATAAGACTGATCATTGCTGATTTGACTGAATCACTGATTTCCTAGTAAGGAAAAAAGATAAGGATAATTGTAATAAGGACTATGAAAAACTCTTTAGTGTTTGTAAAATTTTACCGATTGAAAAAAAAAGTTGAATATTTAATAGGATTAGAGCATTACTACAATAAAGAATATAAAATACCGATAAAAAAATGTATACAATACCCGGAATGTGGAAAAGAATAAATTTGTACAACCAAGATTAAAAAATTATTATGGAGAGAGATTATTATTAGCATACATTGTACCTAAAGTATTTAATAAAATTGATATGTTAAGAAAAAATGATAAAATAAGTAAACAAATTTTAAAAACAAAACTTAGGGACTTGTTTCTCAATGACGAAAACCTGTCGTCATCGTGAAACAAAACAGCAGTGAACATATCTATATTATGTATATAAAAGAAAGTCGTGTTAGTGACTCCACTTATAACTCAAGAACGGCTGAACCGATTTCGCTGAAAATTGGCAGGGAGGTAGTTTAGAGCCAGGAAAATGCAATAGGATACTTTTTATCCCGTTCAACAGCATTCCCGTGGAACTTGACATGAAACGTCAGTCACTATAAAACGTGGAATAACGAAATACAATTGACAGCTATGCGATTGACGTATAATGACAGATATGTAATTTAGTATTTGCGAGATAAATTTAGAAAATCATTGTTTTTCACATTCGCAGTTATAGTTTGTGTGTTCATGAGTTGTCAAACCATTCGCTTTATTTGTGTTAACGTTAGACCAAAAAACAAAAAATGTGGTTTTCAAAGGAGCACTTCAATGAAACGGATAATTTGCGGACACGTATAACGCTTCGATTCGCTATCTACTTTGGATTCACTTTCATTTACTTAGAGAAGTTCAACTAAATAACACTTCATTTTTGTTATCGAAATGAATTTATTACTGTTGTGAAATGAAATAAAAATTTTCCTTTTCAAATATAAAATAACAAAAAAAATCTTCATCTTTTAATCACCAAATGAAATGTTACATAAAACAAAGCCTTCTGGAGGCGAAACGGAGTTCGCCAGGTTTACTAGTAATATTATAAAACTTATACGTCATAGTGTTGATTTACTTTTAGTTTTTAATAAGTATGTTGTTATGTTTTTATTTGTTTAATTTTTTGTGAACCATTATGTTTATTTTTTTTAATGTTAAACAAAATGAGCGCGTCTCACCGTCAAGCATAATAGTTTGGTGAGAACAAACAAAAATTTTAAACCATTGTAATTACTAAGAAATAAATATATAAAAAAAACAGCGGGCCGAAACTCACCGGCCTTGTGTCGATGCTCCGGCTTCAAGAAGCGCGGCGGTATCCTCAGGTGCGCCCTCCTCAGCCTCACGCGCACTCGTCCAGGCCCCTCCGTGCTGTCCAGCTGCCAGGCGCTCGGGTACCCGAGCGGACTGTGCCATACGCCTGTTGAATGTATTTATTCCTGTAGTATTCTTGTGGGTGTTGAAGTGTAATAAATATAGAGTGTATGCTATATTATAGAATTAAGTCTAGTGTAAAGTCTCCTTTATAAAACATCTCATGTATACATCCTAATATGGCGGACCACCCGTTGGGCCAAGCTTTCATTATGCTATGTTAAATTCTTCTAATATTATTAAATACGACTTAAAGCTACAAAGACGTTTCTTTTCAAACCCAGTAATTAACCACATTAGATGGCGACCCTGCCAACAGTTTCCGTTTTCTGCTCAGTTTTCATTATAATATAACAATATTATTTAAAATTACAATAATTCAAGTATGTGACAAACATCGTAATCGAAAGAAGATATAATTATTAAACGAAATGCAGCGGACTCCAGTGGAAACCAAGCTTCTATCAAACAATTCAAAACGAGCATCGGAACAACAAATATTCTCATGGGAATAGTAGTCTTCGTTATACATATATTTGGCCACCATCTTCGGAGTTTACAAAATTTACAAACGATGTCATAAAAGATGGATCCGAAAAGAAGTAAATTTTTCTAATCAAATAAATCACAGTGTATTTAGGACATTAAAAGGTAAGTTTTCACCAAATTTCGTGACAAAATATTGTTTTTTGTAAGAGATAAAAATAAAAAACCAAAAACTTAGTTTTTAGAATTTTTCACATAAAATTTGAAGTTATGTGAAAAAAATATAAGTACAAAAGTTTTAGATCTTTTTATTATCTACAATTTTGCCATATAACTTTTTTCCGTAGGACTTTTCGTTTTGTTGGAAATCGAGAAAAGTCAATTTTTACCCTTAAATACACACCCACATACCCTTCCCGACCTCAGATCGCCCGTAAATTATTTTTCCTTTAATTTTTATAATATTCCCCTCCTTTTCTAATGAGTTTCATTCTACTATAATTTATTTTCACTTTTCATTAATTTTAAAGGCTTCTGCACTGGCCTACTATTAAGATATATGAAAATATTAATATACTATATTTAGAAATTAAAAAATTGTGTATTAGGCCAGAAAATAATTCCCAAAAATGGATTTCGATTTAAAAACGGCTTGTAGTTTGTTGCCAGTCATGGACGGTGTGGAAGAGACCACAAAAAGATTAACTGATGGTATCGAAATGTATGCGGATATGCTTAAAGATTCGGATATCCCGTTATTAATTAAATTTATTTTAAAGAGTAGATTATCCGAAAATGCTAAATTGCGCATGTCGATAAATTATACTTCTGTTAATGATATTGTTAGTGATATGAAAGGTCATCTTTTAACGAAAAAATCATTTACAGCTATTCAAGCACGTCTTCAACAGACTACTCAGGGTTGGAGGTCGGTAGATGAATATGGACTTGAAATAGAAAAGCTATTCACAGATTTGATAATATCTCAAGCAGACGGAGACTCTTCACATTATAGTGTTTTAAAACCATTGAACGAAAAGTTAGCAATTAAACAGTTTTCAGATGGTCTAAAAATAATAAACTTAGTACCATAGTAGCAGCTAGGAACTGCAACTCTCTTAAAGAGGACTCCTGAACCAAAAAAGGAGGATTTCAAGGTAGGTACAAAAATAATAATTATTCTAATATTAGGTATCACAACCAGAGAGGATCCAGCCAACAACGCGATAATTATAATCATAAATATTCTCCACGCGGTAAGTATACTACAAATGTACAGCGTTTTAGATATTCAAATCAAGGAAATTTTTCTAGGGGTCTTAATCGCGGTAACACTCGTAATGCGTTCCCGATAAATATGTATAATGATAGAGAAAATATAAATAAAGACAAAATAGAACAGGAAATAAATCAGTTTTTTCGGATTTAAAGATTACATTTTTACATTGAATAATAAGCATAAAATAGTAATTTTTGAATTAAATAAACATAAATATTATTTTTTATTAGATACTGGTGCTTCTTTGTCAATTATAAAACGCGAAATATTACCGAAAAATACTACAATTTATAAAATTAGTATTGAAGTTAATGGAATAGGAGGTTGCGTGAAATCTCATGGTCACGTATATTTTATACTTCAAACTAAACATGATGAATCATTTCATCATAAATTTTATATTTTTAGGAATTTATCTTTAAAAGTAGATGGCATTATTGGATTATATTTTTTATCTAATTTTGGTTGCGATATATTGTTGAATTCTAATATTTTGAGTCTTAATTTTTATTTTTCTTCTTTATTTTTTCAAATGGAAAACAATGCCTAATGCAAATTTATGAAACACCGGATTATACTTCAGATTTTTTATTAATCCCTGCGCGAAGTGAGTCGATTCACTATGTAGCTGTAGAATCAGGTTTGAAAGGTGATGTAGTGGTTTGCGCGAAAGAGAGAGATTAGAAATTAGAAAGAGATTATGAGAGATCCATCCAGTTGTTTAATGAAATTTAGATTGATATTAGAGGAAAATGATTTCAAAATTGAGTATATAAAAGATTGAGTAAAGAAAACGTAGGAGCTGATCCCTTGACAAGAATTAATATTACATCAAATGATTTAAAAGGCATGAATGAGCAAGTTATGGCAGTATTAACTAGAAAGCAAAAGAAAGAAATGCAAAAAGATTCTCTATCTTCTTGTAGTAAAGGATACACCCTTTATTATTAACTCTGGAGACGAAAGGACTGATCACCCTCGAGTTGTGGAGTTATTAAGAAAGACATGTGATTCGGTGGAAATGAAGTTGATAGAGGCATCTGAGTTAGATAAATTACGAAAGGGAAGTAGGCTTAGTAAAGAGTATAAATGTTTTTCTTCCTGTTTACAATAAAGATGATTTGATTTGTGTAATGTGTAAGCCCATTTTTTTTTCTTTCACCCCCGGAGGTGAAGTGTAATAAATATAGTGTGTATGCTATATTATAGAATTAAGTCTAGTGTAAAGTCTCCTTTATAAAACATCTCATGTATATCCAAATATGGTGGACCACCCATTTGGCCAAGCTTTCATTATGCTATGTTAAATCTTCTAATATTATTAAATACGATTTAAAGCTACAAAGACGTTTCTTTTCAAAGCCAGTAATGAACCACATTAGTGTAAGACGTTACCTCTCTCGTGCGTGTAAGTGTCCACGATAGTGTTCCAGCGCGCCAGGGCGGCGGCGTGCTCGGCGTCCGCTCGCCGCAGATGTTCGAGGAAGGATTTCCGTTCACCGTTCTGAGTGTCGACGACCCGGCGGGTGGCAGCCATGGCGCTGTCGGCCAGCGCGCGCGCCGTCACCTCGCGGGCGAATACCGCCTTCCCTATAGCGGTGCGCAGGCGCGGGGAGGCCGCGTGGCGGGCTCGGCGCGCTCGGTCCGCCTTCAGCAGCCGCTCAGCCTCCTGCAGCAGCGCCGGGCCCCGCACACGCTCCGCCAGCTCGGCCTGGGAGCCCACGGCCCAGTCCCGCGCCCAGTCAGTGATAGCCAGCTCTACGGCCTCCTCGCCGCGCTCCGCAGACAGGTGGATGTTTTGCACCAGGGTCAGCAGATACACCGACAGCTGAGAAACGCCGCACAAGGAACATTGCAATATATGAACAGTAATGAGATCTAAGATTTTCGCGAGTATCTAATCGTTTAAAAGAAACTAATGTTTTCGGATTTTTACTTCGCGTTTTAATTTTTGATGTGACATCTCGTCTGTCCGTGATCACGTTTGCTGAAAAGTAGCCGAAACGTCGGGAGTATGTATGTGGTTTATAATTAAAAATAAAATAATTAAAAAACGCGAAGTAAAAATCCGAAGATATTAGTTTCATTTAAATATATGAACAGGTTTAGGTAAGTACAGAATTTTATAAACTGTTTATTTATATTATAACTTATGAAACAGTTGTCACAAACATAATAGGTACCTAAATAGGATAAGTCCTTTTAATATATTTTGATATTGGAATCGAAATGTCGTCCAGGTTACAGGTTAGAGTTACTGAACCCTCCGTGAGGTGAACATTGATTTGTATTTTTCATGTCGCTAACAGTAAAATCATATTTATCAGATAAACTTGATCATATTTTTATCGATGATGTCGTCCACATCACGAGACACTGATATTGTATACCTATACTCCAGCCAAATTCGATGTGGAATGTTTAATAACAAAGCGTTGGATAGCAACCAACGTCAGGCAGATGCTCAAAACGTTTAGAAATATGTACCTACAACAATCATTTTTGATGTGAATGAAAATTAAAATTGATGATTAATAATAAAATATTTAAGACAAAGGACTAATTCTTGGTTATAATTATAATACTTATGATCATCTCGAATCATGCAGATCTCAAAAATAATACCTCCAATTTTAAAATGATATCAGAAATTACCTCGTAATTATATAATTCGCTTTATTTACTTTATCCATCGCCTCCCAAACGACAGGACTCATTTAAATTAAATTTTGTGTATAATTGAATTTCGCTACAGATACAATCCCACTCGGACCAGGTTATTCAGTATTACTCATCGTAATCTAATAAACAATATTTGATGACAACAAACTTATAACAATAACGAATTAAAACAAAATAACTATAACAAAATCTAACAATTAATAACAGAACGGAAGGAAACCAGAATCAAACACTCGCGAATTGTAAGCAAAACTAACAACAAAACAAAACAAACATTATGGCGGGCGTATAATGCAACAAAATTACGTAGTTACGTTTCGTTTAAATTTATTTGCGTTAAAAAATATTTTTTAAATTAATTAAAATCTAACCGCAATAAAATTTATTACATTTTATTTGGTATATAAATTGGAAGAAATTGTAAATATATGTGGTTAAAACAGTGATTATAGTGCTATATTTATGCTAGCCAAAACAAGCTGTCTTTATTTTAATCTGTGTGTAATGAACCATTGTGTGTATGTTAACATTCTTAACCTATTGTGGTTATACTACCATTATAATAGGACTAAAAATATACACCACCACTTACGAAGAGCCTGTATCGCTATTATATACCTTCCTAAATCTGCCAATTGCTTAAAAAACACTCCAAATGTTACAAACCTGCGATTTCTTTACGTCAATATTAAAATATAGGGTTGTTAGTTTTGTAGTAATATTATATTGGTAATTAAAGATTTTTAAACTTTTATTTTAAGCTAATTTTCATATAAATTATGTATTGACCGGCTAAATAAAATTTTTGGATTCTATATTAAATTAAAATTTTTGTATTTAAACAGGAAATTGTGTTATAATGAATATAGTTGTAATTATAATAATTATTATTTTTTATTACGAGTGTATCAACCCTAATTATGATGACTCATGGTTTGTTTACTTATTCCAGATCGAATGTGGCTGGAGTATAGTTGTATGTTTAGTACATGGCCTACCTTTCTGAGGGCTGAAGGGTCTTTGTATTTGGGTGCCAAGAACCGTAGAGCAGGCGCCGGGGCGTGGTACAGGGCGCGCAACAACCGGGGCTGCAGCGGGCGCGCGGCCGGCGCGGGGGAGGCGGCCCACCAGAACAGCTCCGCCAACGAGGCGCCGAACTCACCGCCAGCTCCGCCACCGAACAGTCGCGACGCGCCGCCCGCCGCCTCACCGCCTCCTCCACACACTGGCATCACACACGCGGTTAACATCGTCTCCTCCTACGGAGGGTCGCCAGGTGACCTCTCGTGGTGACTGGTGACTCACCGGCCAGCAGCACGGACAGCAGGCGGTCCAGCAGCAGCGCGTCCGGCAGCAGCGCGTGGTGCGCCGCGCGCCCCGTCAGGAACGTGACGGCGCGTCCCGCCACGCCGGCCAGCCGCGAGCCCGCATCGCTCTCCGCGCGGGAACCATCTAGGACTGTAAGCGAGACGGTTGTAACGACAGATCAATCACCGACTACTTTACATTCACTTTATATTTATATATATAATTCTTCTGTGAGTGTGTATGTCACTGAACTTCTCTCAAACGACTGGACCGATTTTTATGAAATTTTTTGTGTGTGTTCAATGCGATCTGGGAATGGTTTAGATTCACAATTTTGTCCGCTGGACAATGTTTTTTTTAATTAATTTTTAATTTATTAGTAGTTGTTGATACAAACATTTTTTATTGACATTAGATTTGACAACTAACTAATATGTAAATCATTCTGTCGCAATTCAAAACACGGAGATTTATGGCTTTAATAGGTAAACTCCAAAAATATAAATAAAAAAACGTAACAGATATTTCTAGATTATAGGGCGATACGAAGTTAGCCGGGTCTTCTAGTCTTTTATAATTACCATTGGTGAAGTAGTTGGTGGTCCGCGGCTGCTGCTGCTGCTCCCTCAGCCGCCGCTCCAGGTAGTCCAGCTGCGCGAGGTACAGGCTCGTCTGAGCGTCCCGGGCCACCACCTGCACCGGGGCGCCGCCCTGCCTCTCCCCCTCCAGGCCGCACTCGCATTCGATGTAACGCAACATGTAGTGCATGTCTATTATAGTCTAACAAATAAAAAAGCACTAATGATTGTAAGGAATAAGTCCGGTAGGTAGGAACGTTGGATGTCAGAACACGGACCTGCATGCTGTGGTTCCCGGCCAGCACTTTGATGGCGAGTCTGCACAACAAGTCGTATAGATCTTCCAGCAGGAGGTCTCGGCCCTCGAAGCCGCCCTCCTCCAGACCCACGTTACGGATGGAGCGCACTATCACCTCCACCACCGCCACCTCATTCAAGGCCCTCAGAGACGACTGGCACCGTAAAAAACGATTCAGAATAAATGAATACAACGAGGTACACATACATATGTGATGGAAAGTCATAGGACTCACTCTGTCGACGAGGCGTCTCAGCAGCGCCACCACATTGTGTGCTAGCGGCACACACGGAGCCCTCACACACAGCGGCAACAGACTTAGGAGCGGAGGACTGCGGCCACACGCCTCCTCCGACCACGACCACGACTCATCCTGCGAACACACACACACTCACCACACGGACCACCGACACACACACGATCACATACTAACACTTTACATATATGATTATAATTTTAATTTACTAAGATATACGACTTTGTTTAAAATTGCAACCAGTTCTTGTACTATAACAAAATGAATGATTTAATACAAAATATAAATGAAATCGACAAATTAAGTCTCTCCCGTACTGCTTTCTGTATTCAGACAGAACTTAATAATCATTATAACGAATAAATTATAGTAAAGTCGTTATTATTTATAATAAATAATAACGACTTTACTATAATTTCACAAAATATTAGAAGCATTTATAGTAATTTCGATAGCTTTGTACTTACGTTATATAGTCTTACTTTTACACCGAATGTTATAGTTTTGACAGAATGTCGAATAAGTCAAGACAAAGCTATACCTACACTCAATAACTACACATCGCACGCTACTACATACAACTTAAATTAGAATGACGGTGTTGTTGTCTTCGTAAAAAATACTCTTCAATATAATGTCAAAGAAATAAAATTGAACCAAGCCTCATGTTTACAATTAGACATTTTGAATTATATTATATATTGTATATATCGCTCTCCGTCCAATAGTAATGCGGAAAGTTTAATTGATTCTCTAAACGAACACCTTTACACTTTAAATTCACAAAAATACATAATCATAACTGGAGATATTAATATTAATCTGATACCGAAACCTACTGAACGTCACAATAGGATAAATTATCTAGATGCGCTATCAGCCCATGGTATCTCACCAGGTTACGTCATGCCTACAAGAAATGAAAGTTGCCTTGACCATTTCATGTTAAAAATAAGAAGGGATAAAAGCTCTTCTTTCGTAGCTGTATTACAGACGTCTGTTACGGATCATTAGGGGCCGTTCAAGTATTACGTAAGCAGATTTATTACAAACATTTACCCCCCCCATCCCCCTTGTCAGCAAAAGTAAGCAAAGCTCTTACCCCCTCCGCCCATGCTTACGTAAATATTTTCAATTACTGTATTGTTTTTTTTTTCATATAAATCCAGAAAAATATTATAATTATATTTTTTATGGATCTCCTCGATGTGACGATTAAAAAGTAAATAACTACCGATGACGTAATCATCATCTAGACCCCCTACCACCCATGTCATCCAAAATAATCAAAGCAAAGACCCCCCCGCCCCTCTATAGTGCTTAAGTAATACTTGAACGGCCCCTTACACTGTCGTACTATGTATCTACAAAAATAAAACCAGGCATGACGCACAAAAAACAAAAACTATTATTGACTTTGAAGGAGCTCTAAAATATCTACAAGAAAAACATCTAGAACAATTACTATTAAGTTATGATCCAAACAAAATTACTGATTATCTTTTACAACAAACAACTAATGGATTAACTACAATACGAAAATAATAAAAACAACCGCATTATGAAACCCTGGATTACAGAAGGAATACTTAGACGCATCAGGGCTCGAAATGACTTCAAAAACAATTGCGACGACGACCCTTGTAATGAAATTAAAAAAATCTCATACACGCGATACATAAATCACTGTAACAATCTTATAAAGAAATTAAACAGAAAATATGAACGACAATTACTCATGGGATCTTTAAAGAACAATAAATTACTCTGGCATAATATAAAAACAATAACATATTCCACTAAATCAAGACGACCCAACTTCGAACTTTAATACCTAAAGCCTTCCCCACTTGAATCTGCTAACTATATAAATAATCATTTCTCAAATATTGCTAAACATCTTGGTCGGGAAATTGAACCAACGGTAACTCAAAATGACTTGAATCACTACTTACAGAGTCTAGTCTAATCTCAGTCTCTCGTTTCATTGAATACTGACCATAAAGAAGTTGATTCCATAATTAAAAATCTGAAATTAAATAGTGCTCCTGGTTGGGATAACATTTCTTCAAGTTATTTTAAATATGTAAAAAACCAAATTATCTCAGTTATTACTCACCTGGTCAATTTATGCTTCAAAACGGGAATATTCCCAAATTCATTAAAAAAGTCTATAATTACTCCCGTGTACAAGGGCGGGGATAGAGACGATATAAACAATTACAGGCCAATTTCAGTTCTACCAGTATTGTCAAAAGTAATAGAGAAAATGTTGAATGTTGGGCTATTGAGGTACTAACGGGCTTTTAAAATAATTTCTCTTTGTCAATTTGGTTTTCAGCAGAATATCTCGGCACAAGACCCTGTTTCATCTTTAGTTTCGTTGGTTTCACAAAATCTCGATAAAGAAAATGTCTTTCTGTCTTTATCTACATAAAAAAAGCTTTTGATACAGTCTCTATCCCTCTACATAAATTAGAAAAAATAGGAATAAGGGGACCACCCTACGCAATATCTAAAGACTACCTATCTAATAGAATTCAAAAGACTAAACTAGATCAACCTAACTGTAGTGACGAGGCTCATGTATCTTACGGCTAAAAATAGTTCACAACCCAAAACAAATTTTCATATAAAAATTCATAATTGTAATGAAGTAAGAGGTAATAACTGCAATTGTCCATTAATAAATAAAGTGAGTCGAATAAAATACTTGGGAACAATGGTCGACCAGATCTTGTCATGGTACCCGCAATATGAACATGTTGCGGCACGCATTAGGAAGTTCACGTGGATGTTCAAATCACTGAGACATATTGTAACTAATAATACTGTAAATGACTCCTCAAACAATCTTTTAAATCAAATTTATATAGCTTTGGTGCAATCCATAATAACATACTGCTTACCTATTTGGGGAGGTGCACGTAAAACACGTTTCATGGAAATTGAACGAGCTCAAATAGCATTGATTAAAATAATGTTCTTTAAAAAACAACGGTTTAGTACTGAAAAACTCTATGAAGAATGTGGTTTGTTAACTGTACGGAAATTGTATATTGTGCTTACTGTTCTAAAAAAACACAAGTCTTTAACCTACGATATATCGTTACTCAATAAACGTATAGCATATAATGTTATATCTATTCCTGCTACTAAAACAGTCTTCGCTAGGATTCAGTATGATAATAGATCGGCTTATTTATATAATATAATAAATAAATACGTTGATATATATTCAAAAACTTGTAAAGAGTGTAAAATTAAGATAATAAAATGGATAAAATCGTTAAGTTTTCAAGAAACGGAATATTTTTTAGAATATAGGAACTAGCATTCATATCCTACACAAACCAACATACACATTCAACACATACACACACACACACACACACACACACACACACACACACACACACACAAATGCGCACGCGCACACATGCATACACATACATTTTAATCCCACATTTGCTTCCTTTTTGGTAATTACTTATCTTATTATTACTTTTTTATATTGTTTCATTATTATTGCTGTACCTTAAATATCTTGTATACTTGTACCTAATTCGTGATATGGAAGAGCGGAGTTTAATGGCACAGGCTTTTCATATGCTTAAAAGGAGACTCCAATAACTTTATATTTAAGTACAAAAATTGGTTAAAGAAAATAAAGAATTTTTTTTAATTTTATTTTACTGACATCGAGCTGGTCTTCAAGGGGCACGTCCCGGTTGGTGAGCAGCACGGCGCATGCGGTGACCAGCTCACGAGACGCGGGGTACAGGGAGATCTGTGAGGACGTGACGGTCAGGAGGAATAATACACGAGGATTGTCAGTGTCATGGATCAGATTGATCATTATACATATATACCTGGTTGGCGAGATGCATGTACGTGTAGGGCGGCAGCGGGGGAGCGCCCGGCCGCTGGAGGGCGCACATGACGCGCACCACGGCCGCCCGCACGCCGGGCGAGGCGTGGTTGGCGAGCACCACCACTGTCTCGGGCGGCACGGCGCCGGCCATCGCCAGCGCTAACTGCTGTTCGGGCAACGCAGCCAGAGCGTCTCGCAGCAGCAGCAGCAACCCGCCGCACGCGCGCCAGCCGGGCTCCGCGCCCGCCAACAGCCGCCGCTAAATAATAATAATATTTATTTGCTCTGAATGTATTAGTTTAGTATTAGTTCCAGGTACATTCTACCATAATGCAAATATTAGGTTTAATTTATAAATTAAAATTAACATTCATATAAATTAGATATTAAATTAACAATGCAATTATAAATTCATATTAAATATTTTACAGATGAAAACTAACAATGATAGATAGATAGATGATTAAGTTATATACATATGTTATACATTTTTTATTCTTCAATTTCTTACAAAATTATGTCTTGTGCATTAGATAATTATTTACAGAGTAATAACACTTGTTGACTAGTCAAGAAAACAAAAGTTTTTTAAATTTTACATAAGTTAAATCTTTTATTTCATTCGGTATTTTGTTATATATAATAGGGGCCATGGTCAATATGTTCCTTCACAATAAAGCAATTTTGTAGTTGCCTGTACATAAAAGATTATGATATTGACCTTAGATTTATAGCGCGATTTCTCGTTTCTCTTAATGAAATAAAACGACCGATATCATGCCCGCCGCTACCCCGCTATACAACAAGTAGTAAGTACATCACCCGTCCTACCTGTTCATAGATGGCGCTGGTGTACAGGTCGATGGTGGTGCGGCTCGCGTCGTCTTCATCCACCAGCACGTACTCGTCGGCCGGCTCCTGCTCGTGCTCCTCGTCCAGGTCTCCCGTACTCTTTTCTATAATAAAGATATTATTATTAACATTTCCCTCGTCGGTAATCCACGTATCAGTTCAGGTTCAGGGAAGGTTTAAAAACTGAAAAAAAATTATTCATTTCCGGGAAAACTCTAAAAACGGCGCTTTTCTACTTCCCATACAGATGGTTTTTTGAGATTAGATTTGACAACTAACTAATATGTCAATCATTCTGTCGCACTTCTCACAAATTATTTATTTCTCGATTGAGGCAGTACGAAGTCTGCCGGGTCAACTAGTATGAATATAAAAATATATTTCTTATACATTTCTATCAAATCCCACATCGTATAGACGTGATTACAAACGCAAAAAACAACAATAAGTGTACATACATGCGGGCAACTTACACGCATTGAACTTTTATCGTTCAGATTGATTGATTCTTTAAAATATCGATAAGTTGCCAATTATTATTATACATAGTTCTATTTAAAATTATAACAATACTACATTATAGTACGGAACCCAAAAGAGGGTTGATGTCAGGCAGGCGGCCGGTTGTAAAAACAATTAGCCAAAATTATTCACAACATGTAAGGCAGACCCTGGCTAAAGCTGAGAAATTGCCAGGTAGAAGAAGAAGTACGGAACCCTCCTGATTGAGTTCTTTACAAACTATTACTGACCTACATTAAGATATAGCGAGGACGATGCTTCTTAAAACCTACAATACAGTTCAAAATAAAATAAAACAGTTAAAACAGTAACTAACAGTATTCTAAGTATACTCTCACTTCTATAACTGTGATCACGGTTGCTGTAAAGTAACCGAAACGTCGCGTCGGGAGTATGCAGTTTATAATCAAAAAATATCGCGTAGTATATACATCCGAAAATATTAGTTTCAGTTCAATTAATACTCGCGAAAATCTTAGATCTCATTATGTTAATAAATCATCTAAGAACAATTAAATTTATTCAAATAATATACTAATCAATGCTAAAACGTTATAAACCAGTTTCCTTGCAATATATTGTTACTCTTGTTTATTCATTACTGATGATCAAATTCTTCAATTTATAATACAAGCGTTTGACAATACTGATAACAGGAACATTATACAAAATAAAAGGTTTTTGAGCTTAACAATCTATAAATAAATTGCTAGTATGTAATTTATTTTTATATATAGTGTAAAGTAATTATCATTAATATTTAATAGTGTATATAAGTGACCATCTGTACGAGTATCCGACAGAGATGCTTCTTAGAATTTATACATTGAATAATCTTTTTTTTGACTATATATTGAATTTTTTTTTATTATTTTTTATGACATCTTCATTATTGTCAAGGACATATATATAACTATCTCTTGTCTTGTTTATGTAATATATATATATATATATATATATATATATATATATTATTCAATATTTATATATATTTTATTCAATATTAATAAAAAAGAAAAAGTTCAACGAATTGTTTCAACAAAAAAAAATGATTTACGCCTCCAATAGATAAATATTTTGTTCCTAAATGACATACGAGTATAAGACTTTCGCGAGTATTCATTTAAATAAATATACTTTCTTATATTGAAAGTTGCCTCACTACTCACCGGTCACGTCTGAATTCTCTGAAGTCGACGACAGCTTCTGTCTGGAAAGAGAAAAATAAACCCAATGAGTGTCTCTGTTGTGCGTTCATTGAGACAATCGATACGGATAGTGTTCGCATGTGGTAGAGTAGAGTTGTCAAAGCAGTAGTGTATTTTAACCAAAAGGAGAACCACTCAGTAAAAAAAAAATAGAAGCAATGTTTCTTCTACACTGATTTACAGTGATCACCTGATGTTGAGGTACTGACAGCGGTAACAATTACATTAAAGTAACATTGTTAAATTTAAAAATAACAATACGGATAAAATAATATACCTAAAATATTAAAATAAAACAACATTAAACATAAAATATATCTATCGCGCTTGCTACGCAGGTGTGCCGGGACGCGCGGGAGCAGGGCGTAACATTTAGATAATAATATACATATTACAACTGTTCAATGCTCGCTCAGTGCAGCCCGCAGCGTCTAAAGGCTAACACCACAAACGTCTGTTTATTTAATCCAAATGTACTCAAAACGGACACAATAAAATACACAACAGTGACTAAAACAAATAAATTGTAATATTATGTTTTTAATAAGCGGTTGGACTAGGCAAATATATATTGTTAGACATATTTCTATTAAATACGTCATAGATATAACTATGTATAATATAAAATTATAATGAAATTAGTATAAAACAAAGACATTTTAATTTAACAAAAACCAACATTATATTTACCAAACATATCCTATTAACATCAAACATAATAACTTATTATAATTTCTCTTAAAGATATAACTCATTAAAACTATACGATATGTCAAACTATCACCGATACTCACCGGCTCTGTTTTATCTGCGCGTTCAGCATCCCCTTCATGTGCTTGGTGTTGTCGGGGCCGTTCTCGAGGTCGGACTCGCGACTCTGAGCCGTATCCCTCAGGTCGTTGGGTTGGTTGTCGCTCGTCACGTCCTCGTTGGACACGCTGGAGGAGCTGGACCTGTCGATGGCGTCGTGCCGCCGGTTGTCCGTGACGGCGGAGCTCCTCTTCCCTTTGGTCATGAAGGTCAGGAAGTTGAAGTCGCTGGTCTCCGGCGTGTCAGCCGACAGCAGGAAGTAGAAGTTGGCCCGCGAATGTGTCACGAACGTGTCACTGGCCTGGGATAGATTACTTAGTTAATTGCGATCGTTACATACGGAAAAGGAAGAGTAAATTTAGCAAACAAGTACGACGCCGGAGCTGGCTGTAAATAATATTTGTATTAAACACGAGGAACATACTGGATCTAAAGAATGACACGATTAATTGTTGAATATAAGTAAATTGTATAATCTATTTTAACGCGCAATATATTGTTAATCTGTGTGTGAATAGTCGTATCATAGTTATGTCGTTTGAAGGTTGATTAAATATACAGAGGCCATCAAAAAAAGAGGTTTTATTTCATCTAAGTATTTTAACATGCTAGCAGAGCGTGGTTCAAAGAAAAAACTCAATGAAAAAGTATAATAAGAAGATTTACAAGTACAGAATAAAGGTGAATACGATCGTGAATTTCAAGGTTAGCGTTACTCTGAGCCGGCAAAACGAAAAATGGAAAAGAACTTAAAGTATCGTCAAAATCGCTAAACAAACAAAAATAGAAGATATAATTACGCCTATTTTCGATGGGGTTTACTATTCAAGTTGGAAATTAAGGTTACTAACTTTAATTAAGCGGTTTTCCAAACGGTCAAAGGTTCGTTCATATATGATAATATAATAGTGTTTTAATTTAATTATAATGATTTATATTTCGAACTAAGAGTACACAATTGTATTTCTGTAGACAAATATACAGCTTTCCAATTTTAATTTCCGATAATGCAATATCTCGATATCCAATTGAAAAAATAACCAAAATTTTAATATGAATGAGTCTAAATGCGCCTTCATAAGTTTCTTATTAAGTCTCTTAATATTAATGCTGCGAAGTTTCAAAGTCAAAGAGCAGTTTAATTAATATCTGCAAAAGTGTTTTAATATTAAAACTCTTACATTTTTAGAGATTGCTCAAGACTTGACAAATCAAATTTTTAATTTATATATTTCTTTTATTACGTTGGCGTAGAAGTAATCGATAGGTTGAGTTAATTGTTATGTAATGTATAACCAAGTCATAAGAAAAAATATATCTTTATTCTATTCTCAGATATATTTGTACTTTTTAACGTAAAACCTTTAACTAAAAAGTTTTTTTACCTATTTTTATATATTTTTATTCTACTGGTTGAGCACTTTCATTTGATACTCATATTGATGATTGATAAAACCTACTTTATCCGAAATTTTGTAGCGGCCGCCATCTTGGTTTTCAATTTTTTATAGTATATTGTATTCTGCTTGTTGAGCCCTTTCATTTGATGCCCATATTGATGGGATTAATAAAACATAAATTATCCGCCATTTTGTAGCGGCGGCCATCTTGAATTTTTAATAATAATGAATAAACATAATTGCATTGTCACCAAAATCCAAAGTGTATACAAAATTTCAGATTAATCGGTTGACAGGAAGAGGGTGAAATTCGAATTACTAAATTTGACTCAATAATAAATAAAACAAACGGGGTGAGCTAAATAAAACCGTTTAAAAAAAACGTTTGTACCAACAACTACTAATAAATTAAAAAAGAATTAAAAAAAACATTGTCCAGCGAACAAAATTGTGATTCTGAACCATTCCCAGATCCCCTTGAACACACACAAAAAAAATCATCAAAATCGGTCCAGTCGTTTGAGAGAAGTTCAGTGACATACTCACAGAAGAATTATATATATAAAGATAGAATAATTAATGTACAAGTAGTTGAAGAAAGTACTGATCTGATTTGCTTAGAAAAACAAGATAAAAATTTAGAGATTGATCAAAGCTCAAAAGATATAGTCCAAACAGTTAATGATAATGATGAAGATTATGTAGATGCAGATGAACCTAGTTGTAAAAATTCCTTAAAAAATCTTTTGTATAGTGGTAACTTAGATGATAATAAGGAGGATCTTGAAGAATCTAAAAAAAGAAACAGAACTCCAGTTTGTAGATATGGTAATCCAGTTACACATTTTATATATGTCAGTCATATTGATGCAAATGTACCAAATACATTTGAGGAGGCAATGAACTCCAATGATTATAAACAGTGGCAAATAGCAATGGATTCAGAAATAAATAGATTAAATAAAAATAATACTTGGCAAATTGTTGAAAGGCCAATAAATAAAAAAGTTATAGATGTTAAGTGGGTTTTTAAAAGGAAGAGTAATAATGAGTATAAAGCTAGATTAGTTGTGAGAGGATTTCAGCAAAATGAATACATTGATAATAATGCTTATTCACTAGTAGGAAAAATGCAAACTTTGAAAATTTTATTGTCATATAGTTGTAATAATAATTTATTTATAGAACAGATGGATGTAGAAACAGCCTTTTTAAATACTTGTTTAAAGTCAGAAGTATATGTAAATCAACCAGAAGGTTATGAAACTGATAATAATAAAGTTTACAAATTGCAGAAGGCAATTTATAGTCTCAAAGAAAGTCCAAGAGTGTGATATAATTGTTTCGATGAGTTTATTAAAACATTAAGTTTTGTAAGAAGTAACTATGATTACTGTCTATATGTCAATGGAGCAAGTAAAGATCCAATATACATATTAATATTTGTTGATGATTTTTTGATCTGTTGTAAAGATAAAAAGAAGATAGAAGAAGTAAAAACTAGTTTAATGAAAAGATTTGCTATGAAAGACTAAGGAAAAATTAAAATTTATGTTGGTATAGATATTGAATAAAGTGAAGATAAAAGCATAATGACTTTAAACCAAACAAAGTACATTGAGTCTTTGGCTGCTAAATATGATCTTCAGAATACTAAGTTGTATGATACTCCAATGGAAACAAATTTAAAACTAGAACAAGCTAGAGAAGTAGATGAAAGTATTAAATACAGAAATATAATAGGGCAAATATTGTATATAAGTACAGACACAAGGCCAGATATAGCATACAGTGTTAATTATTTGAGTCGTTACCAATCATGTTATAACGGAACACATTACAAGTATGCTCTGAGAATTTTAAAATATTTGTATAAAACTAAGGATTTAAAGTTAACATATTGTGATAATTTGGATTCTGATGTATTGGACTGTATGGTAGATTCTGACTTTGCAGGAAACAATGTAGATAGAAAGTCTACAACCGGTTTTGTTATAAGATTGGTTGGGAACCTCAATTTTTGGAAAACACGTAAACAGTGTACAGTAACTAAATGTTCAACCTTTGCAGAGTATACTGCTATGTCAGATGCAGTGACAGAAGTACTTTTTATAAGGAACTTGCTAAGTGAATCATTTGATATAAAGTTTTGTAACCCAATAAAAATTTATGTTGATAACTCAGGTGCAATTGCAATAGCTAAATATGGTAATTTTACAAAAAACTCAAAGCATATTGAAGTGCAGTATCACTATATAAATGAGAACTATGAAAATAAAATAATTGATATTGTGAAAATTGATAGTACAAGTAACCTGGCAGACATGTTAATTAAAAGTTTAGATAAGAAAAAGTTTTTGAAAAACAGGTTACACTTAAAATTAATTTAGTAAAGTAAAAGATAAAATATTAGATTATATTGATAGCAATGTAAAAGTTTATAAGTTTAGTCATGATGAATGTTGTATTATTTAAGCTATATGTTGTAAGATTATAAATTTAAGGAGGCGTGTTGAATATAAGTAAATTGTATAATCTATTTTTACGCGCAATATATTGTTAATCTGTGTGTGATCAGTCGTATCATAGTTATGTCGGTTAAAAGTTGTCCTATTTTATTATATGTATTTTATGTATATATTTATGTATGTATGTATTTAATATAGTATATATGTATATTTGTGTTATATATATATTTATTGTTATTTGTACATATTTAATTTGTATTTACCCTTCCACATTATTATCCTCTACCCAAAGGTTGCCTGGAAGAAATCGCTGTTTAGCGATAAGGCCGCCTGTTGCACATCATGCATTAGTAATATATGTATAACGATAATGTATTTCTTTTTTTAGTTTTAGTATGTTGTACAATAAAGTATAAATAAATAAATAAATAAAAGTTGATTAAATATACGGAGGCCAACAAAAAACGGGTTTTATTTCATCTAAGTATTTTAACGGGAATAAAACGTATTCTAATATGTGTTACTGGCTCCGAATTCACTATTATCGGTAGGATTATAAACTAATCAAAGTGTAGCGGTTGCAGAGATCTTTGTCTGTCGTACCTGGTGCATGAGCAGCAGGAAGTCAGCCAGCAGCGCCAGCGGGGGCAGCGCGGCGGAGGGCCCCGGCGCGGCGAGCAGCGCCCGGACCGCTCCCACCAGCGCCGTGCTGTCGGCCGCGGACAGCGCCGGGCGCGAGCCGACCAGCAGCCGCTCGCGGCACGCCGTCAGCAGCCGGTGCAGCAGCGCGGCGCGCGCCGCCTGCCCGCCGTTGAAGGCAGCGTGCGGGTGACGCGAGTGCAGCAAGGAGCAGACGCACGACAGACACAGCGACCAGCACGAGCCGCGCCACCGGCAGCCGCCCCACTCCCACACCACCTCCTGGCCACATACAATACTATCACCGTGACGTTCCTCCGGTCCATTAATACGTGCCTACTGTATGTGTGTGTGTGGGGGCACCTCGTCCGTGTCGAGCTGCCTCCAGGCCGTCATGAGCAGCGCCAGGTAGCGCGGCTCCAGCAGGATGCTGTGGTTGTCATCGAGGACGGTGACGGTGCTGCCGTTGAAGCTCATGATGGAGCTGCTGCACGCCTCGTCGAATATCACCTGAACAAAACATTTTTATGAACGCTTGCATTCGATACGTGTTCTCTTGGAATTTTTAAGTTTCAATTAAAATCCGCTGACAAAAATTGGTTTTTAAAAGTTTAGAAAGACCACTGAAAGAGCAAAGCATGACAATTATCTTCCACTCTATATGGTTAGGTAGTTATTAACGTGTTTATTGTCTGATAATATTATTTCACAAAACTGTCCTTCGTCTTCTCAATATTTTTTTCATACCAGTAGGACCCGAGTGTCCAGTCTATATGCTAGATTATTGTTCACCAATATTACTGGAATAGTGTAATTAAACATCGTTTTTATCATTACTTTAATAACAATACTGTAATATGTGTTTTTTTTTTCATAATATTATTCTGTTTTGTAGCGAATTTCTCAGCACTGGAAAGGTGGAATTTACGGCTCAAACGTTGAAAACTATTAGAAAGAAAAAAAGAAAGAAAAGACATTTATTGACATACACACAAAAAAAAATATACAAAAAAAGGATATAAAAACAACATTACAAAAATAAAGAAAATAAATATAATTGATAAAAAACTTGTGTGCAGTCAAAAGGAGACAGCTCAGGCTATGAGGGTTTTTTACCCCTCTGCTGATTTTCAGCTGTCTCCATTCCAAACCAAAAAAAAACATATTTCCATTTTATATACTAAACGATATTGAAGGCCAAACGAAGTGTAAGCAACAACCCATACTACTATAAGGTATATTAGGTATTATTTTATTTAGTATGTTTATTTGTTAACTCTATATAAAATTTATTATTAACTGTCATTATGTCAACTTCATGTTTTTGTACAGCTACGATAAACTCCTCATGCCTAGTACATAATGAACCCTTATTTAGGAAGCCAATTGTTAATTTCTTATTATTCAACATTGTAACTTTTATGAGATTTTTAAATTTTTTTAATATACAACCAATTATACGTTTTAGTTTTTATATATTGTAAAGATAGGGTAGATTTCATATAATTTGCATGTTCTTAAATTATAGTATACTATACTTATAAACATTAGTAAAATTATAAGTTTTCATAGAATTGTAATATTTTTATATAATAAGTATATATGTATATTTATTATTTGTAGTTGTATAAGCTATAAAAATATATGAGTTAAAAACAACAATATATAGCAACAAAACAATACCTTATCATTATACCATAGTTGCACATTCCTATTCGACACAGTATTGATATATAAAGTTAACAAAAGAATATAATATAATTACATTAATAATCTAGAGTATATATTATAGTAGTAATATATATATATGTTTATGTAACACTGTTCACTTGTGTATGTAATAAATGCTTTACTTTATATAAAAAGTTGTTTTTTTTATTTATAGCCATATACTTTTATGTGGGTAGGCTACGAAAATGGCAGGTCGTCCGTGCACTGTCTTAATCTTTCTGTTTTTAATTAATGAGTATACATTTTTGCTACACAATAACACTTCCACGAAGAATAGTTGTTATTATAAATATATATTACATATATATATTATATTTTGAATCGCTTACTGTCACAAAAAACTATGTATTAATAATTATTTATAATAATATACTTAGAGAGATAATCAGCTGACACTGTGACCCAATTACTGATACGAACCTTGAGCATATGGTGTGTTATCTTGGCGGGTGGCGCGGCCAGCACGGGCAGCAGCAGCGGCAGGCCGTCCTGCAGCAGCGCGGCGTGGAGGCGAGCGTCCGAGGCACACGCGCGCAGCGTCACGGACAGCGCGGCCGCCTGCCACCGGCCCTCCGCGCCCAGCTCCACCACCTGCGGCACGCGGCTCGTCACACACACATATACACACACACACACACACACACACGGACACGCGACCAACACACGCACCCTCGCGAACAGGTACAGAAGGGGCTCCACTCCTCCTAGCTCGAGGAAGGCGGGCGCGAGTCCTCGTCTCTGGTCGGCGCGCGGTGCCCCCGCCCACGTGAGCCGCACGGCGCCCACCTCCGCGCCCACGATGCCCGCCCCCGCCCCCGCCGCCCCGCGACCTCCCCACGCTGGAACACACGAACAGCCTGTTTAGTACAAGATCGATCCTTCTAATCCTCGACAGGTGGGGTGACAGTCACCGTTGGGTGTGGAGGGAGGCTGGTGGTGCAGCTGCATGACGTCCGGAGCGTGCGCGGAGAACGACAGCAGCAGGCCGTCGTGCAGCTCGCGGAGAGTGGAGCTGGAGATCTCGTACACCTGCCCACACACACTTATTTATTTATTTTTTATTTATTTATTTCTATTTCAAGTAACAATGACTCATTTAAAAAATAATACATAAATTATATACAGACAAACTTTATCTTGTGTTTCAATAAATCGCTTTGTCACTTAGCGAATGACAAAAACAGTTCATATGGTTTCGGTTTCTCTCACTCTCAGACACAACTCTGTTTTAATGGATGTGTTCAAGGCGATAAGGCTCAATGTTCAATGTGCGGAAATATTTGTAATGAAGAGACGTGTGAGCGTTGTAATGGTTTATTAGTAACTGACTAATATTTAAAATTTACAGAGCTGTGGACTGTATTTTAAAAATACATGAAAGGAAAATTTTAAAAATAAATTACATACAATACATATTATTGGGTAAAGATTATTATTTTGCTGACAGGCCTCTGTAATATACCGTTTTTACATTTAATGTATACAACTCTAGTGGTTTTATCAGGGCCAGCATGTTTATCTACAATTTTACCTAATAACTATTAGGTAAAATTGTATAATTTATTATTGTGAGGCGAGCCAATCAGCTGTGTGTTATCTTAGACAGGATGTATAGCCTAACCTTTTCTTCCATCAATAATTAATCAAACCTTATTTGTTCTCATCGTAAACCGGTATTAATAGTAACCGGGTCAACTTAGTTTAAATCATCACTCATATTTGCTAGAATAATTCCAACTTTTAAGTCGAAGTTACTTTATTGATTCAACATTAACACCAGAAGGTAAGGTCGCTCGTGGTGGGTTTAGTTATAAACACTCACCGAGTCCCAATCGACGTCCATCTCGACTAGCTCCGGGCTGAGGATGGAGGGGAAATGAGCGTTCTCACAGGGGATCTGAAATATATACACACATTCAATAAACATCTGCCGCTCCTCGCACGACACGTTACGCGGCTCTACAGCACCTGACACGGCAGGTCGGGCGGGTGAGCGGCCACGTGCAGCGCGCCGCCGGCCCTCAGCGACCCCGTGCGCCACACTCTCAGCGAGGACAGCAGGAGCGCGCCGCCCCCCGCCCCCTGCCCCGCGCCGCGCCCCGCCTGGCCCAGCAGCAGCGTGGTGGGGGACGGCTTGCGCACCAGGATGCCTTGCAGCGGCAGCGACATGGTCTCACACTCGCGGCCGTCGATGTACAGCGTCACCTTACATAAAACAAATAATAATAATTATACCCAAATAATTTTACCCAAGACTAGAACAAAACTGGCCAAAAAAATGTTTGCCGTCTACTTTAAAATCTGTAAACTCATTTAATGTATTCAAAACTATCGAAATATATTATACAAAACTACCCACTTGTAAATTGAATGCATTGAATGAGTAAAACAACTGGTTATGTAATTATATCTTAAGAACGACATGTTATATTACTTGAATTTTTTGTTTCCATGTAAGTGACTGTGTCTTTTTTGGAAAATAAAGATCTCTAAACCCACATTCTCCGCAGCCCCCACCCACCTGTATGTGTATCCTCTTCCTATGCACCCGCTCGCTGACGTTGACGGCCAGGCAGGTCCACACGTCCCCGGGCACGCGCGCCGCGCCCCGTGCCCCGCTCACTATCTTGTACCCGGAGGAGTCCGGCCGCGTGAGGCGGATGGTCACCTCGCCTGACACACACACACACGTTACAGGCTCGTGGGAGCGACCTGGCCCACTGGAGCGAGGAGGCCAGCTACTCACCGTTGGCGGGACTGATCCACAGCTCGAACATGAGCGAGTCGTGGCCGATGGACACGGCGTGCAGGGACTCCACCTCCGGACTCGGCTCAGCCGCACCCTCCACTGGAATATAGGTTTAAAGATCTTTATTTTCCAAAAAAGACACAAAATCACTTAAGGGGAAACAAAAAATTCAAGTAATTAAAATTAAAATAATATTAAATGTCGTTCTTAAGATATAATTACATAACAAGTTGTTTTACTCATTCAATGTATTTAATTTACAAGTGAGTAGTTTTGTATAATATATTCCGATAGTTTAGTTTTGAATACATTAAATGAGTTTACAGATTTTGAAGTAGACGGCAATTTATTATAATACTGTGCGCCCTCATATGTAAACATTTTTTTGGCCAGTTTTGTTCTAGTCTTGGGTAAAATTAAGAAACTAGCGCGTCGCGAGCGCAGAGTACGTTTAGTTGTGTTCTTTAGCATCGTAAATGATAAGCTAGATGGAGTGAGCTATTTAAAATTTTCCTGACAAGAATGCATGTAAAGGGTGTTTTTTCTAGAGGTATAGAACTTTGAAATAAAATAAAACAAAAATGATTGTTATTATTGATATGAAATATAATATTTTGGAAAGATAATATTCTGTCATTATAATTTAAATAAAATTTCAGGCATATGACCTCCATGACTGGCTCGGACGTAGTTTAAACTGGAGGTCCAATTTTCAACGACTTTTTCCAACATTAGTGACTGTATATCGGCAATAACGTGACGAATGTTATCCAAGTGATCAACGGTTTCGGGCTTATCAGCGTAGACTAACGACTTTACATATCCCCACAGAAAATAATCAAGCGGCGTTAAATCACCGCTAAACAAAATTCGCTTATGAAAATTGGGATCAACGGCAATCTTATTTTGAGCCCATTCACAGAATCTAGGCCTTGTTAGGTGATCGCGAGGCTTCAATTCTTGCACGAGTTGGATTTTGTAAACACGCAAAGCAAGATCTTTCCGCAAAATCTTCCTTAAGGTTGATGGACACAGATTCAATTCCTATGCACGATGGCGGATAGACTGATTCGGGTCTTCTTCTACTCTACAGCAGAAATAACTTCTTCTGTATGCACTGTACGACATCTCTGTGGATGCGTATTATCATTTAGAGTAAATGTAGTGCGAAAACGTTCCATTGTTAATCAAATTAATTGTTCTGATGGACGATTATGTGGACCGTAAAATGGACGTAGTGCGCGATACGTTTTTCGAAACAGAGCCATGATTTTCAAAATAAATTTGGAAAATTGGAGGCGTTGTTCAGGCGTTAGTCTATTCATGATGAATTGCCAAACCAAATTAAATACAAATCACATGACAGCTGTAACCGCCAGTTAAGAAAGTATTGGCAATTTAAAGTTGTATATCTCTAAAAACAACACCCTTTATTAAGTGTATATTATTGTTTTATGGTCATTAATTTAGTTTCTTTATATATTTGTGTGGTTGGCGTTAAGAAATTGTAATGGAATAATATTTTGATAATTTTGTTTTGTAGTATTTGGAGATTGGTTAGTTTTGTTTTGGCGGCACTGCCCCATATTTCAATTAGATAAAGTAAGTGCGGTTTGACCAAGGAATTGTAAATCGTAAAGCGTATCTGTCGTGGAATACACCGGACAAGTCGTCGAAGCGCGCCTGTAAGGGATGATAGTTTTGCTCGTATGTGCTCAATCTGTGCATTCCACGTCAAACAATTATCCATTCTCAGACCTAAGTATGTTTCGCAAGTTTTTTTCCTGGATAATAATGTTATTAATTTTTAATAGATCATGAGGAGGAATAATTTTGTTTTTTGATTTAAAAATTACGTAACATGTCTTTTGTATATTTATCGTTAGCAGATTATATTGGAACCAGGTAGATAATTTATTTAAGTCGTCTTGAGCATTTGACATTATTTGTTGTATAGATGAGCCAAAATAAAACAGACATGTGTCGTCTGCGTATAAAGATATATGGCCTTGTAGGCCTATATCTTAAATATTATTTATATACGTCAAAAAAAAGCAAGGGTCCTAGTATTGAGAACTGTGACGCTCCACATGCGATTGGGCGTTTCGAGCTATAAGAACTGTTAATATTAACAACAATTTATTAAAACAGTACGGAAGTCTAACGCCTATGATATCTTTTATGCATTTAATTGCTTTAGTTGTTATTCCGTCTAAGCCTGCACTAGAATTTGAGTCAAGATGATTAATAATTTTTAGTATTTGAGTGGCACTACATGCCTGTAAAGTTATTAATTTTGAGTCGGTAATGACCTGAGGTAACACATGTTTATTGTTATCGTGGTAATATTTTGATATTTCATTTGCTAAGAGGGGCCCTATCGTTACAAAATATTTGTTAAATTCGTCACAAATTTCTTTAGTATCAGTTATATGTTTAGATTGTATTATGAGTTTTGAAGGCACACAGTTTTCTTTGATTTTATTACAAGCCAAATTATTAACTGATTCCCATATCTTTTTGTTTTTTTTTTTGTTAACTGTGTAAATTTCTTATAGTAATATGCATCTTTAGTGTTTCTAATTAAATTTATTAATTCGGTTCGCTTTTTTCAAAAAGTTTTTCTAAGATTTCATCATGCGGTTTGTTTTTGAGTTCGCTCCATATTCGCTAGATTTCTATGATTTATGATAATCTATTATATTTTTGCAGATCCAATCCTTTTGTGGCGGATTTAATATTTTGGTTTTCATAATTTTGCTTTTACTGATGTACTGTTTAATAGTGTTTTCAAGTAGTAGGTAGTCATGTCATTGTTCGTTTTTGAAATTTCCTTACTCATGGTGTACAATACTTAAGTTAAAGTATTGATTTAGGTGAGACGGTGTGTGTGTCTGTGTGTGTGTGTGTGTGTATATTGAGTGTCGTATATACCGTTAGCGGTCTCGAGTCTTATCCACATGGCGAGGGCGAACCCCTGCAACCAGGGCGCCCAGCCGGCCGCCACCACCGCGCGCCCGGCGCTGGCCGCCCACGACGACCACTCGCCTGAAACGACGACACACGGATCACATGAACACCTCCTTATTTATTATTGTACCGAGCGAGGACAGCGACGCATCCCATCTCACCTGCTCTAATATGTTCCTGGCGTATCTTCCTTGCGCTGATCTCCGCCTGCTGACGCGGCGACGACCCCACCACGTCCTCCAGGAACGGCTCCTCTGAGAACATCAAGTGTACATTGAGTTGTGTACAGTGCAATGTTATGTATGTACGAAAAAATATTGATGACTTCATGAGAAAATGTGATACTCATAGCATTGGTACAAGGAACAAACATGAACTTGTTACTCCTGTTACTCGACTACATAGAGTCAGTAACTCCTTTGTGGGGCAATGTATAATGTATACGGTTTTACAACAGGATCCCAGAAAGCGTTCAAAATGCCTCTGTTACTAAATTTAAAAAAAATATTAAGGAACGCTTGTGTGCAAAAGGTTACTATACAATTAATGAGTTTATGATCGATAGCACACCTTGGGAATGAAACAATCGCCTCCTGGCTATTGCATCTCATATTAAATGGTTTACATAATACATATATGAGACAAATATATATATATATAAAAAACCGCTGAGTTTCTTTCGCCGGTTGTTCTCAGGTCAGTGTATTTTGTTTTCCGAACCGGTGGTAGTGTCTCAAGTGACCATCAATATGAAAGTGTAATGCTTCTATATTGAATAAAGTTATTTGAGTTTGAGTGTCGCGGCTGTGGGCCGTCTGGTGACAGAGACAGAATACCAACCGGGGTCTGGTCGTATGGGGAAGGTGAGCGAGGTGTCGGGCGTGTGTCGCTCGGCGGCGGCGCGGGAACACATCCTCAGCAGCGCGGGCAGCAGCAGCTCCAGCGGCGGGTCGGGCGCGGCCAGCGGACGCAGCACGGCGGCCGCCTCGCACGACGACACGCCCTGCACACACACCGCCTCCACCAGCTCCAACACGCTACGCTGTAACTCTGAACAACACAACCAACATGAACCATCAACACTTTGACGCGAGAGTTCATGTGGGACTCTTTTTTTATTTATTGGAACCAAAAACAAGTTTACAATTATCATTTCTTATAGCTTAATTACATATCAGCTATTGTAAACTCAACAACGATGGTCACGTTATACATGACAAAACAAAAATAAAAATGAACCTGTTGAAGAATAAAATATTAACAAATTCAAAAAATTAAAAATTTAATTATTACTTATTGTGGTGAAAAGATATGACAGATGAGTTTTATAGAAAAAATAAAAGAAAGAAAAACAAGAAAAATTAAATATAAACATTTTGTTCAATATACGAGTACAAATAAACATATGTGTTTATATACGAGTATAAATAATATACAAAATAATATATATTATAATAAAAATATATAATTAGACCAGTGCAAATAGCTTTTAAAACATTATTAAATTATAGTAGAATGAAACTCATTAGAAAAGGAGAATAATATTATAAAAATTAAAGGAAAAATAATTTACGGGCGATCTGAGGTCGGGAAGGGTATGGGGGTAGTTTTAGCAGCTTAATGTCAATTTTCTGTAAATTACCTAAAAGAGGGACTATCTGGAGCACTTCCAGAGTACACAACTATTAACAATAAATTAGAAAGAGCATTTTCAAAACGATGTCGAGTGTCATTTCATTAAAAGAGACATGATTATTTTATCCAATAATGGTACTGTAAGTAAGAAACTTATATTTTTTCTTCACCATCGGAAAATAAAGATTTCAACAAATAGAAAACATACAAAATTTTTGGACAAAGCTGATATTTTGACAGGTGATTTTTCGATTAAAAATGTGTTTGATTTCTCGGTATTTATTCAAAATAAGCTGAAAAAATAAATATTTCTAATCAAATAAATTACAGTGCATTTGTAACATCAAAAGGAAAGTTTTCATTAAATTTCATGACAAAATATTGTTTTTTCTAAGAGATAAAAATAAAAAACCAAAAACTTGGTTTTCAGAATTTTTCACATAACTTTTCAGATTATGTGTAGAAAAATGTTACAATAAAAGTTTTAGATCTTTTTATTACCTACAACTTTTCCATATAACATTTTTCTGTAGGAATTTTATTTTTGCCGGAAATCGAGAAAACCCATTTTTTACCCTTAAATATCCATCCCCGTACCCTTCCCAACCTCAGATCGCCCGTAAATTATTTTTCCTTTAATTTTTATAATATTCCCCTTTTGTAATGAGTTTCATTCTACTATAATTTATTGTCACTTTTCATTAATTTTAAAGGCTTCTGCACTGGCCTAAATAAATAAACACATACATACAATACACTTATTATTAAAAAGCACATATATCTAATTATTTTTTATGTGTGTTTAATATGATTATTATTATAATATTGTAAGTGTTCTAGTGTACCTGTGTACTTCGCCCGCCGAGCCTCGAGCAGCCTGGCGGCGGGTGTCCCGGTGCCCAGTAGTCTCAGCAGCGCGCCTCCCCCGCGCCCCGCCGAGCCCCCCGCGGCCCCCCAGGCTCGCGCCAGGCCCCCACAGACCCGCGCCACCTCCGTGACCCCGGCGCTATCGTCCACGTCCTCCTCTTCTTTCGTAGTCTTCTCATCCTCCTGCAGTAGTCTGTAACGTACACACATAGTTCTCATGCAGCGGTTCGTCCCGAGCCCTGTTCCATACAATACGATGTGTCCGAGGCTGGCGGTGTGTTCAGTACGCAGGGTGTCCTCGTGATACACACATACTTGTCTATGAGCTGTGATATGACGTCCACGACTATGAGACACAGCTCGGGGTGCGCCGGCTGCCCTGCCAGCTCGCCCGCCGCCTCCTGGCACTCCAGCCTCATCAGCTCCTGAGACCTCAGACTGTCATCTGTAACACACAAACATCGTCTAACAGTGCCGCGTGCCTGACTACGTATCATCTCTATATAGTTCTAACCACAGTCCCTCTCACCTGAAACTTTGTTCAACACGGACAGCGTCTCCGAGTACTTCCTCGTCTTCACGGTAGCGTCGTCTTGTTTTCCGTTCTCGTTGTCCGCCTGGAGACAGAGGTCGTGTGACTGGTGTGGTCGGTGGTGTGTGAGAGTAGTCTCACAAACAACACGCGTTAATAAGAAGGCCTCATAACTCATTAAAGAAGCTATTGGGGTGACGATGTTTGTAACAATCTTTAGAGAGACGACCGGTTGAGTTTGATATCAGTAACGTGGGAGGATACAGTTAACCGGTCCGCCATGTTGGATTTAATGTGACGTCACTTTATATCCATACATCGTAGTAGAAACTGAACTTAAGAAATTATTATCAATCAGGTTAAAGACCTATCTCAGGATGTCAAAGTCAAAGTTGGAACCTAACGGACAACTAACGAGCCAGCGTGTATTAAATAACAATTTGCTGCGGACGGACATACTTAAGACCTTATTGTGTTATATGTAACAGTTCACAGACTGTGACTGGAATCGGAGATATGATCTTTTCTCTATCACGTAAAAGCTGCCGAATGAAATTATAATACATGTTAATTGAAACATTATTAAAATATATAATCAAGAGACTATAAGAGTTCTTAGAACAATTTGAAATAAAAGAAAAAATTATTAATTTCTTACTAAAAACCGACAATATAATTGTTAGTGGATTGAAATGAACAAGTGGAATTGTAATATCTTCAAGGACACAGTGATCAAGACTTCTGTAATGATGAACTTACCATCTGGAGCTCAATCTCTGGTTACTTTCTGTGAGAGAATCCACCAGGTATGATTATACATGAGTATTATGTGAAAACAAATAATTCTAATGAATCCATTATAGCTTCCTGAACATATCTCCATTTACATCCAAATTTACATCTATTTCGTTGAGATGCATTAATATATTGATGCGGAATAAGAATTGATAAAATATTATTATATTGAAAAATGATAAATGTGTTATGATACACAGACGTGATGTGTGATTATAATCAGTCTGATCACACAAACTAGTCCTCATTAAGATATAGAAAATGTCAGACTAATATTATAGATGAGACAGAGATCGACTAGATAACATGATAAGTGTAACGATGGACGAGTGAGCTACAGTCTGAAGGATGATAGGCAAGGAAACATTAAGAAACACGGAGAGAAATACGTGATAATAATGAAGACGAGACAAATAGATTTCAAAGATGGGTATACCACTGTTAGACCAGTGCCGATAGCTTTTAAAACATACAGTAGGACCTCGATTATCCGGACTAATTGTTGTCGGTAGGCATCCGGATAATTGAAAGTCCGGATAATCCAATATATGAAGAAAAACGGGCATTTTGCATATGTAGTCTGTACCATACATATGTAATATTAGGTGTTTATTTAAAACAAGAAATACATATGAACGAAAATCAACGTTTATTAAGAAATTGTACATAATCTATACTAATATTATAAAGCTGAAGAGTTTGTTTGTTTGAAAGCGCTAATCTCCGAAACTATTGGTTCGAATTGAATAATTATTTTTGTGTTGGATAGTCCAGCTATCGAGGAAGACTGTGGGCTATATAACATCACGCTACTACCAATAGGAGCAAAGATATACTTAGTGGTAAATGTGTAAAAAACGGGAGAAATTATTTCATCTTTGAAGCCTTCTGTTGCGTGCGCCGTGAAAACAGTTCAAGATAAACAAAAATATGTATTAAAGAATAATAGCTCTTTTAATGATCTAAAAAACAGTCCGCGACAGTATATGTCTATCTTTTAAGATTAACTCACAAAAACCGTTTTTATGGTACCTAATTTGGTCGAAATAATTTGTTTAAGTTGTATCAACATAATAATATTAATCTTTATTCAAATAAACAAATCAATATGTTGTTGGTTAAGAGTACTTCATTGCGAATAAAAAAAACATAGGTTTTATCCTGAAAATTCTACGGGAACTCGACCATTCCGAAAACCCCGCAAGAACGGGAACTATGTGGGAAGAACCAAAAATCTGCCGGAAGTCACTATTCCACGCGGACGAAGTCGCGGCAAAAGCTAGTGTACGTATAAGTGTTATAAGTGGCGTGGTGTTATGCAAGTTCTGACATGTTAATGTTAGAATAAACTCGTCGCGATTGGCAGTCCGGATAATCGCGAATTCGGATAACCGAGGTCGGGATAATCGGGGTCCTACTGTAATTCAATTATAGTAGAATGAAACTCATTACAAAAGTAGGGGAATATTATAAAAATTAAAGAAAAAATAATTTACGGGCGATCTGAGGTCGGGAAGGTTATGGGGATGGGTATTTAAGGGTAAAAAATGGGTTTTCACGATTTCCGGCAAAACTAAAAGTCCTACAGAAAAAAATTATACAGCAAAGTTGTAGACAATAAAAAGATCTAAAACTTTTGTATTAACATTTTTTTCACATAACCTCAAATTTTAAATGAAAATTTCGAAAAACCAAGTTTTTGGTTTTTTATTTTTATCTCTTCCAAAAAACAATTTGTTGTCACGAATTTTGGTGAAATCTTTCTTTTTGATGTTCCAAATGCACTGTAATTTATTTGATAAGAAATATTTATTTTTTCAGCTTATTTTGAATAAATACCGAAAAATCAGTCTCATTTTCAATCGAAAAATCACCCGTCAAAATATCCGATTTAAAAAAAAAACTGATTTCACCAAATTTCGTGACAACAAATTGTTTTTTTGGAAGAGATAAAAATAAAAAACCAAAAACTTGGTTTTTCGAAATTTTCACTTAAAATTTGAGGTTATGTGAAAAAATGTTAATACAAAAGTATTAGATCTTTTTATTGCCAACAACTTTGCCGTATAATTTTTTTCTGTAGGACTTTTAGTTTTGCCGGAAATCGAGAAAACCCATTTTTTACCCTTAAATACCCATCCCCATACCCTTCCCGACCTCAGATAGCCCGTAAATTATTTTTCCTTTAATTTTTATAATATTCCCCTCCTTTTGTAATGAATTTTATTCTACTATAATTTATTTTCACTTTTCATTATTTTTAAGAGCATCTGCACTAGCCTATGTTAACAAAAGATACAAAAAGATATTTCATCATTAGTACAACTAGACAGATTAATACGATCAGAGACGTTATGTACTGTCAATCTTTAAAGACATGTTTGAGCGCCTATACCGCATACATTTCTATTATAATATTACACAACTCTAATAGAGAACCTCCCGCAGTCAGTGTGAGCGCTGCCTGAAGACAGGATCAGACGGATTATCGTGTGTTAAGACTCATTAGCTCGCTTCAATACCTCCACACGAGGTGAGGCCGGCGTCTGTTTGAGGAGTGTTGTGTGTATCGTGTATGGTCACCTCGTATCCGTCCGGCGGGGTGGGGCTTCGGTCCCGGGGCGCGCTGTCCTCGCTCAGGGAACACTCCGAGCTGGTGGTGGACGGGCAGAACAGGGCCGGCATCTGGTACAACATGAAACAAACATAGTAACGGACACGTCAGCTGTCAGTCGATTAAGTCAAGAGTTTGAATGGTTATCACTGGAGGATCATAATGAATAGGGAAAACAAACAACGGAACATACAACACAAAAGGATCCCAAGATATATATAATATAATAAGTGTGTGAGATAGTTAACATGAAACATTTCCAGATGACCCTCCCATCTGTGTTGAACTTCCCTTAGATTTTAGAGAAACAAACATGTAGTTAAAGGAACAAGTAGGCAGTGAAATATGTTTATATAATTGAAACATCCTTCCGTTTACACATATTATATATTTAAGCAAACATCAAGCCGTCTTCTACTAGATTTTGTGAGGAAATATCACCCAATATTTTTCTAATTCGCTAAAATTGCGGATCCGAGTCCCACAACATACTTGTTTATGAATTTTTAACTGTGTATTCTATTTGAAATTTAATTCACGTGTGAGATCATCATTGTTTTGATGTTAAAAATCTTATAAGAATTAATTATACATTCATTATTAATTAAAAAAAATATTGACTCGATCTAGAGAAAAATATTTGTTTGTGTTGACAAGTTTTGAATAATAGATTAGAGAAAAGATATGCTGTTTGTTCTGGTGATACAAATAATATAATATATTTGAATAATGTCAATAGACGAGCTCGGTTCATAAATCTCATTAACGTAAAAGGATGATCCGAGGCGAGGCCGCGCGGACTAACTCCAGAACAACTTATATCTGATGTTATATTATGAACCTACTCCCTCCGCTCACTAACTCTGACTAATATAACTGTTATATTTAAAACGACTCAAAAGAATGTAGATTAATAGCAATGATAGATTCGTCATCATCCTATCAGACCCCACTGCTGAGCAAAAGGCGTCTTCTTACATAGAGAAGATTTGATTCTCACATAGAATCTTTTGCTTGAATTATTTATAGTTTTCAGAAATTTATAGACGCACATCTACACCGATTAACGTACAGTGAGGTAAAATGTGGTACCAAGTTTTTAATTACGATTTAAGACGACCAAATTAAATCTCAAACATATTTTTGGCATCATTTAATAATATGTAAAGCGTGTTTCGTGTGATATGTATAAAAAATGTACATCGTCAAGGTCGACATTTCCAAATTCGTCATAGACAACTTTGACAACTTGAATTAAAAAAAAAATGGAATGTTTTTGGAGAATCATTTATTATACATATGTTTATCTGTGACTCGTGTTCAAAAATACACAACAAACTTCACCATCGCTGATGATGATGGGAATCCATTTTCCAAAACATCACATTGTTGTACTAAACTAGTCAAGGTCAATTAAAAATTCGGTCAATCTCTGTCATAATATATGTAGGTATATTTTTTGCACCAATTATGCATATTAAATAAATATGCATTTTTGACAAATAAAAATGTAATAATGTCGCTTCTGAGTTATATCCGATGCTAATTATTGAAGCGTGGTCTTTGAGACGTTGGTTCCGCCATGCAAATTTTATGATCTCAAACAGAATGCGTTCGATATAAATTAACATAAAGAAAAATTAAAAATGTTAAAATTAATAAACAACGCGGACTCACTCTCGACACTTTAAAAACACTTTTTGATTTTTTGGAGATATTATTTATAAAATTCATTTACTTATACTTGACATATATAAAAATTATAAAGTGTATAATTGTAAAACACTTTTAACTTGTCCGTCCGTTATCTCGGTTTGTTTAAGGTAGTCGAAATGTCGGAAAACATAATGAAAATTAAACCAATAGAACTGCGTAGTATAAAAGAAAAACATAGGTTAATTTTATATAATAGTTAATTGTATTTCCTCATAATATTTATATGAGCACGATGAGTCCCCCGGCCTTGATGGTCGCCACACCTACTCATATTAATATAACAACTTTATCTTGATTTTATATATAATACACACATTTTGTTTATCTAGAACAGATCTTAGAACACTATCGCTGAATCTAATAAGTTATTAATTCGTTGCGTAGGAAATATACACGGGAAGTAAAGACGAGAAATATTAAGACAACGTGACTATTACATAAGAAAATAATTGATTATTATATATTGATTTTGTTAAATAATGCGTCACAGGAAGTACAATCATCATCAGCCTACCAGAACCCACTGCTGAGCCTATTCTCACATGGAGAAGATTTGAACATTAATCACCACGCTTGCTCAAGAAGGGTTGGCGATTTCAAACTTATAATTAGAAATTATAAGTCCAGGTTTCCTCACGATGTTTTCCTTCACCGTCTGTCAGTGGTGTCTGAATACTCTGAGAAAGTACATATGACCGCGAAAAATCACATTGGTACTTGCCAGGTTACGAACCCGCGCCCTCATGCACAAGAGGGGGGTGGGCATTTAACCAGTAGACCACCATGACTAGAAAGTATATTGGTGTACCTTACTATTATACAGAGAGATATATTCAATAATTTTTGTATAGAAAGTTTCAAAGACTTGAGAAGATCTTATGACGACTGAGAATCGTTACTAACTAGTTAATAACGACAACAACAGTTTAAATACGAGTACATCATTATATCAACAGTTAAACAATTAAAGATATTATATCAACGTGTTTCTTTGTGATGTGAAATATTTTAAAACCTACTTACTACATGTGGAATGTTTTTTTCCACTTAAGGAAGTGTTTCAATTTCCTGCGCGTGTTACGTAGCTATGGCGAAATTGTATTTATCACACAAACATTCATATAAATAATAATATATACGTATATTTCATAGATTTGACCTCTCATAGTTATAAAATTAGTTAATGTTTTAAGGTAACTTAATCAGTATTTCTTGTATTGAGTCGTTACACGCAAACTGAGACCCGACGACCCGCCTCATTATAGAACGTTTAAGTAACAAACAAAAAACATTCCGAGGAGACGATACAACAATCAACAGTAACCTTACAACACAGACATTATTGTATTACAATAATTAAACTCAATGACGTACTATCATAATATATTATCAAAAGATCAGCCGCGATCTAATTAAATGCCATTCAGTAACAATAATTATTGATGGAGGGAACTCATTTGACGTCGTTCGGAACTTCATTGCGGTCTGTTCTAGTTAATTGCAGTAATTGTTTGTGAGTATTCTGTTCGTAATGATGTAGGCAGGTGAAGTGTTGACTAGAAACAGGCTTCTAATGACTAGCGTGTTGCAACACTCAACAATGTAACGTTACCTAATATTTAATAATATATTGAAGGCTTCGTGATGTTATAAACTATGTTCAGACTCACAGTGAAGGACACCATCCCCTCCAGAGAAGTCTCCTCCACCCGGGACATGGTGGGACTGGTCACAACTAACTAACTAACTAACTAACTATTATAAAAACTAAACAATCACGGATCACAGGACAGTAACACTACTAGATGTAACCGGTTCGTCTCATTCACTGTTACTATATAAGAGATATTAGAAAGTTAGATTTGAATATATTATAATATTCCGTGTGTCGCATCGTATGTACGATGTCGTGTCGTCACCGGCTCGGATACGTCCGCGTGTCGCGACGCTCGGACGAGCAATGAGCCGGGAGGGCGCCTCTGGGGCGAGAAGGACCGGTCGCATAGACTGACATAGACACAATATAAAAAACTTCCGGTTCATATAAACCGGAATCACAACGAAGACACACGGTTCATTGAAAACATTAGCACTGTAATATATACGTTACACACGTTTTATATGTAGTTATAACAGAACACCGGTTCGAACACGAATAAAACGACTCTGAGGTATATAGGTGACCTTGGAAACGAAACAGACACACCAAAAAAACAAAAGGATCGAACCTTTTTAGGGTCGCTCGTACACACGAACAAGTGGCTCGATACACGCGGACCGGAGACACGATTATGATGTAGAGAATTATAAATAAATATTGAATTACCGGAATACTATAGAACTAGTTAGAGTACCGCGACGATCTCACGTTACAACACAATATTAATAAACATCAACAGAAAAACATTCCATGTATACAGGGTGACTGGTGAATTACTATCGATACTTGAGGACGTGATATTTGACGATCATATATGACAAAATAAAAATAAATATAACATAAATATTAATAAACTTCTAAGTAAAGTTAACCAAAAGTTATGTAATTAATTACGCATCGTGTGAACACCCTACAGATTAGGTATACACACACACACACACACGTGCGGGGGCGTGGTGTTGTATCAGCACGCCGCCGCACGCGTCCACACTTGGAACACTTGGAACGTGTCCACACTTTATTTATTTATACGGAAATTTGGTCAAAAATTAAGTGCCTATTTTTTTTACATAATTCGAATGAGAATCATGTACCGAGTATTCTCCTTAAATATTGATAGTAATTCACCAGTCACCCTGTATTATAAGTGTGACCGAGTACACTGGATCTTGAATGATACAAGCAAGGAAACGGCAGCGAGACTGTTCATTAACATTACCAGGGGCTGTCCTACTGACTACTGGGCATAATATACATGTATATTGTGGAAATTAAGAGTGTAACTAGTAAAGGCTTGTATGACGAGATGTGTTTTAGTGACCAGTCAAACGAGGTACGCAGCGTTAACAGTGTATAATTCATATGGTCTCAGTAGTATTACTGTATTAACGTATAGTCCAGTCAAAATAGACATCCCAGTTTGCATTAATTCCCAACAAGTTGGATTCTATTGCTTCTATTCTATTGTAGAACATTTAAGTCAAAACTCAAGTTAAAGTATGGTAATAGGATCATTATAACTTAGAAATTGGGAAGTTCAACATTGTGGTGCGAAAATATGTGTATATAGTCAAAAATACGACTTGCCTCCGGCCTGAAGTCAGGATATCTCGAAAGAGATGCTTTGTAGAAAAAAAGTGTTGACATCTTTTTTGTAAATAATTTTACGACCTACAAAAGTTGTCTGAACCATTTTTCGATAACTTTCGTTGTTTCAGAGATATATGCAAAAATACGCACATTTATGATCTTTAACATCGAATAAAAAACAACACATAAGCGGGATCGATAGGGAGTTTTGAAATATCATTTGTAATGACGTATTGAAGGCCTGCACTAAAATCCGACTGCTATAATAATTAATTAAGTATATTTTGACTGAACTAGTAAATGATTGAATGACAAATGGAAACGCTACGTATGTAGTGTGAGGGTGAGAACTCGTGGTAAGCATACTGAATACGGCAACAAATAAATACGTTAAGACCCAGTTTCACTTATCAATATTAAATAAGTTGATTAGAGCGTCCCACCACGCACAAATGTCCGTTTAAATGTCTTAACCAGCCACTAATATTAATTTCTGCTCTGGAGCTCCGTCTAATGGCTAACAGAATGTTAATGGCATTGTTAAAACTCAATTTTTCAATCACAGCCCTGATTTCTTGTATAGTAACGTCATCTGTTTTGTCAGTTTCGACTATTTCCTTGTTATTATTAATAAAGTGAATTAAAATTTCATTTAGTATGATGATTTTGCCTCCAGCTTTTCTATGACATTGCAAATTAAGTTTTTCTTTTTATTTCTTATAATTTGAACACAATTTATGTCTATATTTATAACAAAAAAATATATAACACAATTTATTGACAACACGATTTTGATAAGTATCACCTAGTAAATTGAAAAGAAAGCTTTATGTGCTAAATGTATGCAACTAACGATATATAAAATTAGGTCGCATTAGCTTACAAGTGACGTATCGAGGGATATATACGATCAAAGTATAAAGTCGTGCATCGTAGCAAACGTGCCGTATTAAACGCTGTAGTTTCCACTTGGTCGTCTTATAACAAGAACGAATAATTTGGTAGTCGGTCATTTGACATGACGTTTAATAATGCTTTGATGATTTGTCATCGTGGGACGTAAATATTTTAACAAACATTTACAATTTTGAAGGTTGGTTAGTAATAGTCCAGGATCCATGGCTATTTTTTTCACTTGATTACTAACAAGCTAATTTTCCGTGAGTAGCTTCGTTTCATTGAGACGCCCAACTTTTTCCTTTGCAATATTTCTTGATAGTGGTAGCTAACTTAGCTAGCAGAGATAAAATATGTTGATTTGATAATTTTCCAAAAATTATTACTAACTGGATTTATTGATGTTCAATCTTATGATAAATTATTCGAAAAAAAAATTGTCCCACAAAATGTATGGTTTGATCAAAGAATCCCCCTCCCCCCTACATGTATCGATATCGATTACTAACCAGCTGATTTTTTATAATTTACTTAGTGAATATTTATATAATTAAACAGTAACATTGTCCTACAAGTTACTTGGTACGGTATCCCGGTCCTACGCTTAAAAGTAGTAGTACTGATCATTGATAAAAAATAATTACTATCAAGCCGAATCTTCGTGAGCTCCATTTCAATGAGACGCCCAACTTTTTCTTGTGCGATAATTCTCGATTGTGGTAGGTAACAGAGGTAGCAGGCATTAAATATGTTGATTTGATGATGGTTTGATTAAAGAGTCTCCCTCCTTTCACCTCCTTTCAACATGTATCGTTAACGAGGTCATCACGAATGATTACTTACTAGCTAGATAAATTAATAGATTACCAAATTTTAAGTATTTAAAAGATGAAATTCAAATCATTATTAATTTAAGCACGAGTAAAAAAAATGTACTTAAACATCAACGAAATGTATGCCAAGCTTGGAGATCAATTATTTTGTTCACTCGCCATATGCCATATTTTTACAGAGAATGATTATAATCCTGAATCAGAGAATGATTATATTTTTTTTTCCTAATAATTTAGATAATTATCATAAAATTGAACATAAATAAATCCAGTTAGTAATAAATTTTGGAAAATTATCAAATCAACATGTTTTATCTCTGCTAGCTAAGTTAGCTACCACTATCGAGAAATATCGCAAAAGAAAAAAGTTGGGCGTCTCAATGAAACGAAGCTTGATTGGTGTAACTAGGTCTTAATATGTACTATCATAATGAAAGTATTGTTTAATGTCAGATGGATGGCTCTACTCTCTATATTGATGTCCATATTATAATTCCTTGTTATTCGTCACAAATATATAGATAATGCTGTATTATGAAGTTTAATTTAGTATATTTGTTTGAAATTTTTAATTTTTCGTCATTTTCAAAATTAAATTCCTTAACTTGATGTCAACAAATGAGATCTAAGACTTATGCGAATCATTTAAATAAAACAAATTTTTTCGCATGTCCCACTGAAATTTTTCATCTTTCCTGTCCATGATCGCGGTTGCTGTAATGTTACCAAAACGTCGGGGAATGTAGTTCAAAATAATAAAATAAACCCTAATACATCCTATAATATTAGTTTTATTTTCACGTAAACTATTTTTGTTTTTAGCTCTAACCTCAGATCTAGGGTCTGTGTCTGGAATTTTGGGTCTCTCAAGGAATTGTCTCTCAAGTCTTTTTGAGATCAAATATCAAAATTAAGTTTTTGAGTTGAGTACTTCAAATAGATCAGTTGGATAGAAAATTAAAAAGACTGGGTAATCGTCTCACTAATCAATTACAACACGACCTGTAGCTGTAATAATTCTAATACTTGTTAGCTATAAGACTCGGTGATTTAATATACACTAATGTATTGAATAATAAGACCCAATTTAATTTTCTCTACTGATATATTATTTCATATTAAAATTATAACAAACACTTTAATAAGGGTTATATAAAAATAATAGTAAAACTAAAAGAAATATGTGTTACATCTGGCAGCATATGAGTTATGTGGGGAAACATGAGTTCGGATAACTATATCTAACTATATATAACTATATAAGGAGTAGTATTATGAGTACCTTGACGGGCGTCAAGACGGGCATGGCGTGCCGGGTGCCGGGCCTAGCTAGCGCCACGCCGACCAGAGCGTCACACAGGGACCGCAGTCCCGGGCCGGAGCCCCCGCGGACGTCCTCGGAACTGACGCGAGCGGTCAGCGCCGCGCGGACTATGGCGCAACTAGACTCCTTGGACGACCCGCCCGTCACATCTGATGACACACGAACACACATTACTTACCAGCGACCAGCGATAGAGGAGCTTAGGATACGAGGAGGATTGGATATATGGTTACAGGAGCATCACGGACATAGTAGAAGTTCCCCATCATTCCCCTGTAAGGAAACATTTTTATTCAAGGTCAAAGGTCAAAAAAATGAGTTTTTCGCGATTTTCTGCAAAACGGTAAGTTTTATCACAAAAGTACCTAAGACAAAAATTATAGATCATAAAATTATCAACACCTCTTTTCTTACGAGCCACCGTTTCTGAGATATAACGATTCAAAAAGTTATAAGTTGTTATCATCATAATATGCATGAGTACGACACGTATATACATGTAGAGTTGTTATATTTTATATATATGTGCCGTATAAGCACATAGGTATATAAGTAAACAGTTAGTAAGTTACATATTCTTTGTCTAAAATGTGTATAAACTTACCGTTTTGCTGATAATTTCGAAAAGCTCATTTTTTTACCTTTGACCTAGAATAAAAAATTTTCCTTGCAGGGGAATGATGGGGAACTTCTAGACATCGTCTATAATTATGTTTTGAACAATTTCACAGAAATTCAGCTTGTTGGGACTTTATGTAACTTCACTCTCATTTTTTGGTCTGAATTGACCGGACTAAGTGTAATATACTGACCGGACACGGCGAACTGTACGGTGACGAGGGCCTCCATCAGCCTCACCAGCAGGCGGTCGGTGGGCGAGGCGGGGGGCGGGGCCAGCTGCGGCGAGCACAGCACGTGCAGCACCAGGCGCAGCAGCGAGCAGCTGGCCGACAGCACGCGGCCCGCCGCCTCGCCGCGGAACGACGGGCTCGACACGCACAGGCGCCCGCACGAGCGCCAGAACGTCACCGCGCTCTGCAGCACGCGCCCCTCCGACACCGGCTCGCCCTCATCCCCGCTCCCCGCGCCCCCCGCCCCGCACAGCTCCTCCAACAGCTCTTCTGAGAGTTTCGGTTTGTACACTTCAAAACACTTGTCCGTGACGTCTCGTAGACACTTCAACAGTATCTGTACGGAGGCCGGTGACTTCTTCTCTCCGAAGCTGGGATACTCCGCGTTCTCCTTCGTCAGCTTGAATATCTCTACGACTATCGCTATCTCGAGTATGGCGCAGCACTGGTCCGAGAACTCCGGCAGCGATATCAGTTCGAGCACATAGCTCAAGCCGCCCTTCTGGATGAACTGCTCGGCGAACGGGACCGTGTTGAGGAGACCGGCGAATATGTTGAGACACGAGGCCGTGAGGAAGTAGGCGGACTCCTCCATCTTGATGGTGTAGCGGTGCTTGGACACGATGAAGGTCGGGTAGATGACGCTGAACAGCAGCTCGTACTTCATCTCGGAGCGGCAGCGAGTCGTCACCTTTGTAGTGTAATAAGTAGTATGTTAGTCAGATGTACAAATATTAAGATCGTTGCGTTAATAGTTCAGTAATAAATCATCTTCTAACAAACACACTCGTTTCAATAACATAAGTCCCCTCATGCCACCCTTGCCATTTTTGGGACGCGCGACGCGAATTTGATCGCGGTGTAGTGTTGCAACTCCAAAATCGGACTATGAGTTGAAGAACTGGATTAAAGTTGAAAATAAAGCAATATGTAGCAATTTAAGTTTGTTCTTCGTTGTTGTTTTATTCAAAAAAAAATCTAACCATGTGCCGATCCAGTCCGCGATGTGCAGATCCCGCGCAAGAGACATACCCAACTAGTGGAGAGGTGACGGCATTAGAATTACGGGGAGAGTGCGTGAAAAACAGGTGTTTATATTAAATATTAATAAGAAGTGCGTGAGTGTTTTGTAAAGTGATCCAATGGAGTTTCAGAAATAAACTTTGAACTGTTAAAATGACTATTTATAAACTTTAAAGTTTTTTTTAACGAATTAGTGTAGAATCTAGTAAAATAAATGTAGAATATATGTATTATTAATATTATTTAATCAATTAAGTATGTATAATGTACACAAAGAGTTTCATATTGCAATGTATCAGGTCGTAGCCCCTACCATGGTAACTACTCGTAAGTGAGTTAATATATTTGTATTTCTTTTATTTATATGTTGTTAAAAGGGAATGGAAGATGAGTTAGTTAAATGTTTAGATGAACTTAAATTGATAAGAAAACATTTAATTAAGAAGGGAAAGCTAAGATATCAATGTTATGTTATAAAAAATAAGTTAGCGGAAACTGAGAAATTATTTGAGAAAAGTTCAAATATAATCCAATGTATTGCTTCTAAGGAAATAAAGCCTAAGTCTCTTACATTCATAGCTTCAATAAGCGATCAAATAAAGTCATACTACTCACAAATTATAAATTTATGTTCTGAGCCTAAATTTCGTATGAGTAGTAGTGACAGTGATTCTACCGAAACGTGTTCGAGTCCTGAACTAAAAATGGAGTTCGATTTGAAAACAACATGCAAGTTAATTCCTGTTACGAATAATAATGAAAACAGCATTAAAGGTATCATTGACTCTATAGAAATGTTTTCGGATATGTTGTCATTGTAAGGTCAAAAATTACTTATTACATCTGTTTTAAAAAGTAGGCTGTCAAGCATTTCTCCACTCGTGGAAGAGGTAAGTCACGTTCTCATTTCAATTCCCATACTAGACAACAGGTTCGCGGCCAAAGATCATATTTCCCAGAAAATAACTCAGGTAAGCCAAATAATTCTAGTTATTTTAATAATCGAAGAAATTTTAATAATAATCCACGCGACCAAACATTTTATCATAGTAGACCTCATTTTCATAAAGTGAACCGCGGACGAGGTTCAAACGAGAATCGATCGAGTTCGATATCTCGTGGTACTGGCAATAGAAACAGATTGTTTTATTCAGAAGTACATTCACAAAATCAGCCCGTAAACGCATAATAGTGAAATGCAGTTTTTCGAGTTGAAACAACATTTTCTCATTAAATGGCAAAGCTAAATATTTATCGTTCTTTATTAACAATAGAAAATATTTTTGGTTGGTAGATACAGGAGCATCATTATCCGTAATCAAGAAACAGGCGTTACCCAGTAACAGTGAAGTAATTACAGACGAAACTATCATAAATGGTATTGGAGGTAAAATACAGTCCATAGGTTACACTGATGTCTTCTTATTTCATCGTGAACAACAGTTTCATGTACACTTTAATATAAGGCTACATGTTTTCAACAACTTACCTTTAAAGGCTGATGGTATTTTAGATTTAGATTTTCTGTGTCGCTATCAACTTTGAAAACAATTCCTTTACCTTAAACAAATATGGAATGGAATGTTCCTTACCGCTTTATGATTCGTTAAATTATTCTAATGAAAGTTTACTTATACCTGCGCGTTGTGAATCATTTCATTACTTACTTTTGAATAATGATTCGGAAAATGACTGTGTTATCCACAGTCAGCCGATAATGTTTACGAAATAAAGTAGAGCAGGATAATACATCTAAAATTAGTAACCCTAACGAATAGTGGCCTGATCAACCACGAGTAGTTGAGGTACAAAGATACCAAATGACTCAGTAGAAATGACTTTTATTAATAATGAGGAGTTAAATAAATTAAAAAATAATGATAATTTATACGAAAAAAAAGAATGTTGCATTTATAGTGTACCTATGTAGAAAAATATTATATATTAATCTTAACTTTAGGGCACAATTTACGCGAGCCGAATTTGTGACTAAGTTAGGAGAATTTTGTAAGACTAGAAAAATAAGTGAACTATGCATAGTAAAGAATAATGAAATTAAAAATTTCATAAAAGAAATAAAAGAACGTAAGGACTGGAGTGGTCCACGTATTTATGTTCTAAGAGGAGTTAAAAGAACATATGACGAGGAAGAAAGAAAATACATATTACATGACTTTCATTTACTACCCACCGCAGGTCATGCAGGCGTGCGTAGAATGACCAATAATATTAAAAGAAAATTTTACTGGCCAGGCTTGGATAAAGATGTTAAAACATTCGTTAGCAAGTCAATGTCAAAAAATGAAACATTGTAGGTATGTCAAGGCGCCCATGGACATAACTACAACGGCTTCACATGCTTTTGAAAAGATCTATCTTGACGACGTTGGACCTTTGCAAAGGGACATTGAAGACAATTGCTACATTTAACACTTCAATGTGAATTGACTTAGTTCGTAGAGGCCTATCCTCTAAAAAATAAAGACACGGTAAGTATAGCAAAAGCATTAGTTAATAATTTTATATTAAGGTTCGGGATACCAAACACCACAGCTACGGATCGTGGAACAGAGTTCGTATCTACTGTAATGGAACAGGTATGTGAAATGATAAATATACAAAAATTGACTTCTACATCTTATCACCACCAATCTATCGGTGCACTTGAAAATTCGCATAAAAATTTAGGTGCTTTCTGACGCACTCAGTGTGATAGTCAGAAAGACACCTGGAGTCAATGGTTATCTTTTTGGTGTTTTAGTTTTAATAATACTGTTCATACAGAAATACACACCATTCGAGCTAGTTTTTGGTAGACCTAGTGTAATACCTTTTAGAGTAAGTCAATATATTGAACCATTATATAACCCAGACAATTATGCTTTCAGATCTTAAGTTTAAGTTACAAGTAGCGCAGCAGGATGCTCGTGAAAATTTAATTTTAAGCAAACAAAATCGTAAGTGTAATTATGATAAATATACAAATAATGTAACTTAAACAAATGGTCAATTAATTTTAATTAAAAATGTAACGGCAAATAAGCTGGATATACAGTGGGTTGGACCGTTTGTAGTTTTAGAAGATTTAAGAGTAAATGTAAAAATTTTGAAATATTAAGCCTTACATGATCCATAAAAAAAGAACTAAACCATTTAAAAGCTAAATTCAATTATTCCTAAAAAATTATCAATACCTTTTTTTTTTCAATTCACCCCCCGAGGTGTAGTGTAATAAGTTACTACTTAACTTATTACACTACACCTCGTAAGTATGTAAGTCAGATGTACAAATATTAAGATCGTTGAGTTCAGTAATAAATCATCTTCTAACAAACACACTCGTTTCAATAACATAAGTCCCCTCACCTTCAGCAGGTGGTCAACGGTGGCGTGCAGCACGTCGTCGTGGTTATCGAGCTGCAGCAGGGAGTTGTAGTGGATGAGGAACGACCACACGCTGCGGCCGTCCACGGAGCCTCCAGGCCGCCGCGGCCGGCCGTCTTCACGCTCACACACGGCGCAAGGCAAGCGGTCTCCCGCGTGAGGCAGCAGCACGCCCGCGCCCAGCTCGCCGTACACCGTGCGCTCCAGCAGGCGTAGACACGGAACCGCCGCGCCCTCGTGAGTCAGCATGAGGCGCACCGCGCTCTCCACCAGAGACGCGGCCGGGAAACAGCAGCATGCACCACAACGCAACATTACGCGGAGCAGGCGCGCACGCAACGAACGACGTACCGCAAGAGGCGGGTCCGGCAGAAGAGCCGCCAAGGCCGCATACAGCGCCGCCACGCAACACGAGGGTGGAAGCGGAGGGACCCCCGCCTCGCCCAGCGCGTCATGATGGTGATGCAGGCCCGCCGCCACGCGCGCCCTACAGCGGCGGTGTCGGGGCCGCGGACAGGCCGCCGCGTGCGTCACATCTCCTCGCACGCGCTTGGCGGCCGTGATCAGGCGACCAATGGCGTCGATGAGATGTCTCACGGCGCGGACCACCTCGTCCTCGTCCACGGCCGGGATGCGCAGCATGAGCTCCACACACTCCCGCAGCAGCGCGCCCTTCAGACACTCCCCGTACAAACGGAACTGGTCGGTGAACTCGCGCAGCTTCTCCGCCGAGCGACACTGCATCAGGAGACAGTGGAAGAAGGCCGTGATGGAGTACGCGACGCCGAACACGAATTTGAGCAGATTATTGGCCTCGGCCTCGCTGGCTGCCTCCGCTCCGACCTTAATAATAATAATAATAACTTTATTGAGAAAAACACAATGCTTACACACTAATATATCCTAACCAATAAAAACACAATGCTTACACAGTAATATCTATACTAATATTATAAAGCGGAAGAGTTTGTTTGTTTGTTTGTTTGTTTGAAAGCGCTAATCTCCGAAACTACTGATTCGAATTGAATAATTCTTTTTGTGTTGGATAGTCCAGTTATCGAGGAAGGCTGTGGGCTATATAACATCACGCTACGACCAATAGGAGCAAAGATATAGTGGTAAATGTGTAAAAAACGGGAGAATTTATTTCATCTTTGAAGCGTTCCGTTGCGTGCGCCGTGAAAACGGTTGAAGATACACAAAAAATATGAATTAAAGAATAATAGCTCTTTTAATGATCTAAAAAACAGTCTGCGAGAGTATATGTCTATCTTTTAAGATTAACTCACAAAAACCGTTTTTATGGTTCCTAATTTTGTCGAAATAATTTGTTTAAGTTGTATCAAATTAATAATTTTAATCTTTATTCATATAAACAAATAAACATGTTGTTGGTTAAGAGTACTTCATTATTAATAAAAAAAACATAGGTTTCATCCTGAAAATTCTACGGGAACTCGACCATTCCGAAAACCCCGCAAGAACGGGAACTATGTGGGTAGAACCAAAAATCTGTCGGAAGTAACTATTCCACGCGGACGAAGCCGCGGCAAAAGCTAGTATAATATAAGGTTGAGGTGCATTATGTTTCAACAAATTTTAAAATTTCCATTGTCTTTGGACCCCACACTAGGAGACCTGTATCGTGGGGTCCGAACACTTGATTTCACAGGTTGATAAACTAGGCCAGGACCAAAAACGACAATTCACCATTCTTGTTGTCTATATAACGTATGTGTTATTATGATATGAATAATACTTAGTTAAAAAATAAAATATAGTAATAAAAATAAAAATAGGTAAATATATAGTTTTATATATACATATATACCTTGACGTTGTACTTGGCGCTGGACTTGCAGACCACGTCCTCCAGGAGCCGCAGCAACATCGGCAGGATCCCGTTGTGTATGAGCTTGGCACACAGGTCGGAGTGTACCAGCACCTGGTTCAAGGACACCATGAGCAGCTCCGTCAGCGCCACCTTGACGCTGGACATCTCTTCCGGCTCGTACACCGTTCCCTGGGCGGGAATGGAGCCGAACTGCAGCGAGCACAGGTTCTTGAGCGCGAAGTTGATACACTGCATGGAGATGAGCGAGCCCTCGGAGCCGGCCATGCCGCTCTCCGCCTTACACAGCTCCTGCAGCAGGTCCGTGATGAGGATGGTGAACTCGAAGGTGCTGATCTCCGAGTCGATGACCGCCCGGTGCTCCTCGCTCATGAAGTCTTCGGCTTTCGGCTTCACCTTCCTCGGCGAGTAGAAGGGGTCGCTGTACATGGTCTGGTTGGCGTGCTCGTAGGGCGTGCGGGTCGGAGAGTTGAAGTACTCGAAGTCGTCCTCGGGAGAGCACACCTTTATGGTCATGGACCGGTTCAGGATCTGGAGCTCCTCGTTGGAGTCACCAGACTCCGACGTTTGGTCGAGCTCGTCCCCAGACTTCCTTCTCAATGTTCCTTCAGGATCCACTCTGATCTGACCGTTGACTTTTGCTCTGGAATAAATAAAATTACAAATTAAACTCACATAAGTCGACAAAATAATTGAGCAAAAGTGTATAAGAACAATTTGTCATCGACTCTCGTAAAGTACTTTAGGTTTAAATCAATATTATAGCATTGAGATGTACCTTCCAACATTGTGGCTCTTCTCAGACGAGACCCAGGAGTGGTTGGAGTCCGCGTGGCTGGCCGGTTTCTGTTTGTACCATATTCTACAACAAACCAAGTAATGTTATAACGTATATACTCCATAAAGCATTGCTTGCTGCCACCAAACGACTAATCCTAGCGCAGAATTGTTTGATTACTAACCTGTGTGAGAACAGTTCGTGCATGTGTGTTGATGGTTTGTGATGAGGGGGGAGTGTCGCGCGGGGCGGGGGAGGGGGCAGGTTCCCCGGGCCGGGTGGGCCGCTGGGGACGGAGCAGGTCTCCCCGAACAACCACATCAACACCGAGCTCAGCTGACGACAACATGACAGACCCTGGCGGAGTCGAGAACAGAGTATAAGGTGTAAGTATTGTTAGAAATAATTTGGGCAGCACTTCCACTTAGATGTTAACTGCTTGTAACCGAAAACCCCAGTCTAACACTTGTATCGTATTTATAATATTCAAAAGTAACATTTAAATGAGTGTAAGTTATAACATTAGGCGCTAGTTCCCCTCATAAGAGTTTCCATTAAATAATAAAACACTTAACATTGTGTAAAATATGCTAAGGCTCTAATTATAAATTATGAAACCAATTGTTAAGTATTTGGACATTTAAATTACTATACAGAAGTATTACTAATATTAATTTACACTATTATGACTTATATATAGGTGGCGCTAGTTGACTGTTATAAGAATTCCCAATAAATATTAGAATAAAAATAACGCGCAGCTTAGAATTATTGTGAAGTAGACAAATATTTTAATCATTATAAATAATTATTACTAACAGTATATAAGCGAACGGGGGTATGTGTGTGTGTGTGTGTGTAATTTTTGCGTAATAAAAATTCGTTATAAAGTGTATTGTTTGTATTACACTGATAGTATCACATATACTACATACATATATTATATTATAATTTGTAAACGTAATTAATACATATATATAATTATAATAAATTAAAGGTAGATCGTATGTCGCGTCTGTCATGTTTGTTGGAGCGAGTGTAACATGAGAATATTCAAATGTCGATCCACACTTCGTACTTTACTCATTTTGATAAATTCCATCAATCGCTTCAATTTTTTATTGTTTATAAATAAAATATGTAGTAGTATTTTAAAGTTAAGTTGTTGTTAGAATTAGGTAGCGATCATTTGGGGGTCACCGATGTCGTCCGTCGTGGACCCCGGGCAGACCACAGGCGCGGTTATCAAGGGTCACTGCACTATCGCTCACTGATAGCGATGTAGATGCACTATACTGACTAACTCAGTTCTAGTTACTATATACGAGGAGGTCAAACATCTATGATCAGCTAAATAACAACATGTATGGACGCACATCGAGAGAATCATTGTTGTTATGTAAGTCTTGTGTATCTGGAGAGCGAGTTAAAGTTACCTTCTGATAATAACACTGATTACGTATTTCGCAGTATTCAGTTATCGTGGAGCTGTGCAAATATATTTATATATATGTACTCTTGAAATGTTCAAATAAAGTATATAGTCGTATAAGAGTAGGGTATGTATGTATGTTCGTCTGTCACACTACCTGTACTCCGAGCGCCCTCAGCAGCACCAGTCCCCGCCACGCGGCGCCGCGGAGCAAGTAACGTCGCAGAGGCCCTCCTCCTTCAGACGACTCTATATAATAAAAAAAACTTACTATCCCTCGTTATATAAATCCTAACTGAACTTTGTATATCGTAAGGCACTGGACTAACTAAGGCGCTCTTACAAATCCATTTATATTAAATAAAATCACGACCCTAAATTTCTGATACGGGGTCAATGTTCGCACCTTCTGTCAGAGGTGTGAAGGGATCATGTGTCAGATGTGATCGATTCAATTCATTGAATGCTTGTAATTTATCGCTCATACATCGAGCCTTCGCAAAATGTCCCTGACTCACTATAACTACATGATGTAGTTGGTATATTATACTACTGTTTCAATAGACCTACGCTGAAACTACATTATATTCTTTGGATTTTATTGCAATTAGAAGAGGACAAAAAAATGAGGGACGTCTGGTAGTAGAATGCTATCTGAACGTGGTGTACGTGTTAATGTTTGGGACAAAAAGAATCTTGTAATTTGTAAGAAACGTCTTTAGGGGAGTGGTGAAGTAGGACTGAAAGTACTCATAGTAAGAGATATATTGGAACAGACATGTATAACTAATTCTTTTTAACACGAAAGCAATTACGTGGTAAGTGCTACTTAAATTAAAATTAATAATAGAATATATCTAATGAAAATACATGGGCACGAATCAGGGCGCGAGAATTTCATTGATAAAATTGCTAAAACTCCTGGAACGAGTTATTCTAGAGCTAGCTTCTCATTCATGTCGATTGATTTTTTATTGTTTATTCTGCAATTTACACGTATCTAATACATCTAAACTATCTCAAAGCATCTCTTCTGTAGAGGTTTTGACAGTATACAACACAGCCTGACACTGCTATCTCTCAACATTTTTATATAGCTATCAGTGTAATGCTATAGAAGAGACCAGTTAATGTGTCTTTACGTGATAGTATTAGAGGTAGAATGTCCTGTACCTGCGGGATGCTGCGGCGTCCCCAGGGTGTGCTCGGCGGAGGTGACCCGGTGTACTCCACACAGCAGCTCACAACCTACGAGGGTCACCACGCCGCTCACCGGACTGAACACAATACATACTATGATATTGAAATACCACCTACTACAGTACTTGCTCTTATAAACTAATAAGAAACAAATCCTTTAATGATTCAAATCTCCATAATTCTGAAGATGGAATTATGATGGAAGACTGAATGAAGAATTCGTGTTTAGAATCTAGAATGTATCGTGTGATAAACATTATGACTTAATCCGATGTTATAGGAAGTTGGCAGAACACAAAATCATCATTCAATGTCAGTAAACGTTGTATGGCCTCAGTTTGAATATTTAGCGCTTGTAAATATGTACTAATAAACAGAAAATGTTACAAACACTACAGAATAGTCGATATTTACCAGAAATCTATCAACTTCTTCTCATCCTGCCCCTTGTTCAGTCGTATTATAAATTCTGCCAGAAACAGCTCCAGCCATGTCGATTTCTGAAATAACAAAATTCATACATTGCTCCCCGCTGATATTTAATAACAGTGACTTGCTTTAACCTTGACGGTGAAAAAAGTTAATAAAACAATTAAAGATACAAAAACATTGAGTTAATAATATCTGCGTTTAGTGTGAATGATACGGACTGCAGAAATAGCTGATAACAAAGACACGCCGATTATAATTTAGCATGAACTGTTACTTTCAGAAATGTAATGTTTTACACTCACACATATGTGAAAAGGTCATGTAGCCAGAGTACACAAAATATCCGGTGAGTTTATATCAATAAAAGGTTATGTATGTGTGTAAATACCTCATAAGTCCCCGTCTCCGCCCTGAAGAAGCGGTCCCAGTAGAGTCGCAGCGCGTCCGGCTCCTCCTCGGCCATGCTGGTTTCGCGCCAACCTGTCGATTGACAACCGATGAATGGCCTCACTTATTAATAGCCTGCGCCTCACTGGACCCCTTATCATAGCGCGCATTCGTATTGTACTCGCCCATATTGGCAACTCAATAGATGATATGAACCATTAATAATTCTACATTATATTATTATAAAAATATAAAACAAACCATATATTGCCTGCATTGAAGAGTTACATGCAAACAGTTATATCATATAATCATGCTATACTTATATGTAACAACTAGAGTAGTGATGTACTGGATGTTTGTTTGAGTGTATTTAGTAAGTAAGATGTGTGATGAATGTTGTACGGAGACCGGCGCTGGATGTTATCTCACACACTGTGTTATCAGGAGACCTGACACTTGTACAAAATATATATTATACACATAAAATATATATAAATTGTAGAAATATTTATTATTAGCACATGTGATAAGGATTTTAAGTTGAACTATGATTACTTGTGAGATATATATGAATATTATATCATTGTAACGAATATTTTATAATGTTTCAGCATTTTCGTCATATTTCTTTAATAGCTTAAACATTTTGTATGAATTAAAAGAAAAACAACAGCAGAAAAGTTCAAACAAAAGATGAATTATTCAATATTTGGTGAGATATAATATATTTGAATGTTTTTACAGTCAACACAATACTGTTATTCATGTAATATAATAATTTTAATTCAAATAGGATATCATATTTGACTACAGTAAAGTAATGCAATATTTTATCTGTAATTAAATATATTTAAAAAACTTATATTTATGTAACATTGACTTAACAATAACAAAAAAGACTTGTTGTAATTACCCTACTGTTAGAAAGTAATGACTAGAAATATAATTCTTATTATATTAATAAAAAGTTTATACTATACCCAGCTAAAAGTAGAAAATGTTAAATAATTTATTGATTACAATTGATTTATGAATTAATTTAGTTAAAACTAAGAAAAAAAACTAACTTAACATGCTCTACTAAATATAAATTGAATAATTTTGTAAATTTATGTGTTTGTTTGATTTTATGTTTCTGAACTTTAGAAAACAAAATTAAAATGTCCTACCCCACCACATCACTGATTTAAAAATACATGAAGCGCTGGGTACAAATATTAAAAATGTTTGTAAACTCTAAGAAAGTTTATAACTTACATGTAAGACGTTTTCAAGAAATACCGAAAGTGCCTCGTTTTCAAACAGAAATATTTGTGTATGTATAATTATTTAAAAATATATCAACTCTCGAGGAAACAAGGTGGCTGTCAATAAAATTATTTGATAAAATATAAACAAAAACTTGAATACGTGCAGCAACACACCGCTGCCTCACTGTGCGAAATGTCATTGTCTCTGTCAAAGTTATACTTGCATTAAGTATTCTCAGCTGAGCCCCTGTCAAAACATATATAGATAATGTGTAGTTCCATAGATATTATTTTGAATACACTTGGAGTCCTATTAAACTCCACTATATTTATAAAGATGTATTAAGATGTAACACCGCTTAATAATCGTAGACCATGTGTGTAGCAAACGTTTAGAACACCTGGGAAATGTTTAGACAATATGTGTAGGAAATGTTTAGAACTCCTGGCAGATGTTTAGACCATATGTGTAGGAAATGTTTAGAACACCTGGAAGATGTTTAGACCATATGTGTAGGAAATGTTTAAAAAACCTGGGACATGCTTAGACCATATGTGTAGGAAACGTTCAGAACACCTGGCAGATGTTTAGAACATAGGTGTAGGAAATGTTTAGAACACCTGGGACATGCTTAGACCATATGTGTAGGAAACGTTCAGAACACCTGGCAGATGTTTAGACCATATGTGTAGGAAATGTTTAGAACACCTGGGACATGCTTAGACCATATGTGTAGGAAACGTTCAGAACACCTGGCAGATGTTTAGACCATATGTGTAGGAAATGTTTAGAACACCTGGGACATGCTTAGACCATATGTGTAGGAAACGTTCAGAACACCTGGCAGATGTTTAGACCACATGTGTAGGAAATGTTGAGAACACCTGGCAGATGCTTAGACCATATGTGTAGGAAATGTTTAGAACACATTTACATTATAATCGTTAGTGCAGTATCGTGTCCCATAATAAATTTGTTCCTACTATGTCCTCTGTCCTTTTTCTATACCTACATTAACGTAAAAATTTCAGAACCTACATTTCTTCTTAATATGTATTTACTGATTGTGAAATGATGTGACAAAGAAATTAAATTAATGCAGATTACCATTCATGTTCCGTCAATTTAGAGGAGATTGTAATGGAACCGATGAAAGAAACTGGTATAATGTGGAAGACATATTTGAAATAAAAGACTGTTTAATACTGATTTTTCGAGAGAACTTACATAGATAGTTTAGATGCCAGAAGGGACGCATCGCCTGAATTTAATAATATTATAATTTTTTTATGAAAGATTATGCACTAATATGTAACTAGAATCCAGAAAACAGATTGTAATAATGTCATATATGATGAATAAATATAATAAAAAGTAAATAATGCACATAGTAGCATCTCTCAACAATTGCTTTTTAGATGTCAGATTTGTAGTAATTCACCAGTTTTGATTTTATTCCAATAAGATTGGACTATATAATATATTAACGACACTCCGCACATCTCTTGATACTTCTCTATGTACAGACTTCACATTGCTTATTTTGCAATGTTACTCAATAGAGGACACCTGATAACTATAATCATATAATTAGGTTTGAAATTATAGATTCCTTGCTATCTACCGTCATGAAGTAGGCTGTTTTAAGCTTTAAAGTATAAATTAATAAAAACAATTAATATATAAAGCATACGTTTTTATAATTATACAAAGGCACTGATTGATTTTTATTTATGCTAAAGGGGCAAATGAATAGACGGCCTACCTGATAACTGTAGTTACCGTCACCCATGGACATCCGCAACAGTTTGGCAGATGCGTTGCCACCTTTCATTGGGGAACAGGCAGATGAAAGGGTGGCAAAAGGGGAAGGGAAAGTGTGAAAACAATAAAGGGCAACCGATGCTCTCACTCATCAGACGAAATGTAGTAATTTTTAGAGGCTACTTCACCCTGATCTTCTTTGAGAAGGTGATGTTTCCCCGGCCAGCCCATGTTTGAGCCGCAGTAACTTAACTTACCCTAGCTAGGTTCTACCACATAAAATAAACTCAGTTAGTCAAAAACAAAAATAACAATTACTATGTTAAGAAATTGAACTTTGTTTTTTTTGCTATGGCTATTCTACCTAATGATTGACACTTCTTATCTCGATTTGTCAAAGTAATGATACTGTCGTTAAAAGCATTTTAGACTATACCACATTTTGTTAAGGTTTAAGTTATTATTTATTTCTAATTTGCAAGAAATTTGAATAATAGAGACTTAACCTAAGAGTTTTAAGATATTATTAAGCAATAAAAATGTTTAAATATCATTAAAATTGATGAAGAACATTGTTTTGGAAGTGTGCCATATTATGATATTTTGTCCATTATTGTCAGTACTTATAATGTCTCTGTAAAAGTAAGGTGAGTATTTATTCACGACTAAATTTGAAATTAAAAAATATACTTTATATCAACACATTATTATTTATTACAGAGTTAACATAAATAAAATGTGGCATAAAATAATAGAACACCTCAACGATCCGTTGCTTGTGGTTAAAGTGCAGAACTTCTTCGGTGTTATATACAAAAGAAGTTGCCAAAATGAAGCGACGAGTATAATACATTCCGATAGACATGAGCGTGAAGACGAGTTAGATGTCAGACAGCACAAGAGGATCCCAAGTGATATATCTGGTAGTTCCCAATGTTCTTCCACAACCGACTCATCGGAGGGTGCAGAGGAGTTGGAGTGTCATATCAACAATAAGTTCTGGTACTATCTGTTCGTGATCGGAACTTCTCTGGGAGATGAAATCTTCTATGCAACTTTTATACCATTTTGGTTCTGGAATGTTGATGGTGCTGTGGGACGGAGAGTGGTGCTCGTGTGGACCGTTGTTATGTATATAGGTTTGTATACTTCATTTTATAACTAATAACTCAGTAACAGACTAAGAAAATATGGCTCCCAACACCATTATAATCTGATATGAATTATTATATTACTTTTATAGGATTGATGGATAGAATTTTAAAAATAATAATTAAGTAATAATGTGATTGCTTTATTATAATTTGTATTTTAATGATGGTTCACCAACTATATGTCTCATTAAAAGTAATATGATAGTATCAAACTGTATCCATATTTATTTTGTGTATTATTTAGTTGTTTTACAATTAAAAAAAATTCTCACCAACCATAAAACTCCTTCTTCAAACATACATATTGGAAAAAGAGATTCTGAATGATTGTCATATCATTGTAATGGGAAAATTAAGTAAATATTATGTAGAAGTACTTTATTTGATGAATCAAGTAATATATTATGTTGGTGTATCTCATAGTTAAATTATTGAACATTAATATATATGAGTATCTGTTGTACATTTATATGGGAAATTTATTACACTCACAAACATTTACTAGTAATAATAGGTGATAAATTATAGTAAAAGTTGGCATTGTGTTAAAAATATTATAAAATTATATAAACAAGTTATCAATAAATATATACATTAAAACAACAAGCATAAAAATTAAAACGCAAATTTAGTAATCTGGATGTTTATTGATCTACATATTATATTATTAACTTTCGTAATATTTCTTTTTATTGTTATTTAAAAAATATACAGGAAAGAATCAAAATCTCGGTAAAAGAAAAAAAATTCGTTATTCACCTTTTACATTTGTTAAATTAAATTATTTCTCGCCAAATTTAATGATTCTTATAGAACATAAAGTTCTAGGTGTAGCTTTGATCAATTTATATATTTATTTTAAACACTTCTCATTATTGTTAGTGAGAAATCCCGCTTTTATAAGAAACACGGTGTTGGTAGACAACAGCTGTTTTATCTAGTAGACAAACATTTTATCATAACGCAGGTGTCTGAAAAGATGTAGGCATTAAATATATAATTATCTTTTGTATCTGAGATTGAAATATATAGTGACGAGGGGCTTAACGTGATGTGCGTCACACACTATCACGATCCACAAACACTTGTTACGGTGTTGTCGACCCTGAGAGGCGATGACTTCATGTGTAGATAAGATGATACTATCAGGGCACGGGATCTAGACGAACATGTTCAGACTTACCCTTCACATAGAGAATACATTAATATTACCAATAATACAAAGCAACACATGTAAGAACTGGCATGACATAAGTTTTTATTTATGTGAAAGGTGGCAAACGAGAAGATGACTTGATGGTGGTCAGTAGCCACCGTCGCCCAAGTACATTCTAAACATCTCTATTAAAAATACGTTGCCAATCTTGGTTTTGTAGGAATAGGGATGGGGGGGGGGGGGGAAGGAAATGACAGGAAAAGGTGGGAATAGGGTAAGGGCAACCGGCTTTCTCACTCATCGGACGAAACACGCCGATATTCTTTGACAGGGTGGTACTTCCGCGATCCACGGTAATTACATGACTACAGCTAGGCTCTACCACCTACAAATAGCACATAATACGTATTATATAATATATAGTAAGTGTCTCGTGTTTGTGATTGCTGTATCGTGATTGTTCTTCCCAGGTCAGGGTATCAAGGACGTGATCCGCTGGCCGCGGCCCGGCCACCCCGTGAGGAAGCTGCAGCAGAAGTGGGCCATCGAGTACGGCATGCCGTCCACACACGCCATGGTGGGCGTGTCCATACCCTTCTCCGTCCTGTTGTTCACCATCAACAGGTACCAGTACCCCGCGCACTGGGGCCTGCTGCTGGCGGTCTGCTGGTGCACACTCATCTGTGTCAGCAGAGTGTATCTTGGGATGCACAGCGTATTGGTAAGTGTATGTTTTGTTGATTCCCTATATAATGATAGAGAATCTATTGAATTGTTATATATCTGAACATTTTATTTTAAATCGTGTTTTATATTATTAAAACATTCGATGGTATTTATATTATTAGGTGTACCAGTGTGGAATAAATCTGTCTTGCTCGACGATTGGTCTATTTATAATAAAAACTATGTTTGATATGAATGGATGCATGTGGGGATGTTTGTTATTCTAACTTTATAAATTTACCTCGGGATGTTGTAAATACTATCTAAGAACAATCACTTATCCTATTGTTTCGTGTAATTCCGTAACGTGCAACATACTTTAGGCAGGTCTCTTTTTCAAACATTTAACATTAACTCTGTAAATGCAATCTCGAGTTCATAACAATGAAATGATGACCAAAAGCCCATGAGTATACAAATATGTAATAGCTTATAAATCATTATATTATGGTGATTTTTATCAAACGACATAATAACACCAGCTCCAAAGTCAGTTTCTCCTCGACACCGGTCCGTAATGTAATGTGAATGTTCCCTGTTCTAGGACATAGCAGCAGGTCTGCTGCTAGCAAGCCTGCTGCTGCTGCCCCTGGTGCCGCTGGTGGACGCGCTGGACCCCTGGCTGCTGGAGTCTCCCTGGTCGCCCTTGTCAGTGCTGCTCGTGTCGGTGCTGGCTGTGGTCTTCCATCCCCAGTCCGACAAGTGGACGCCTACCAGGTATCTACTACAGTATAGTTTCCTACTAGGATTTGATTCCTCTGTGTAGTGTGATAGAAACGTAGAACTAACATATCCCGTTTTATGCGCTAAATATAAAAAAAGCATTAGCCCAATCAAGGGTAAATAATCTCTAACCTTGATATTACTTGTAATAATTTGCCTATTTTTAAATCAAATTTGTTAAGTTTCTTAAAAAAAAAATATAAATTATTGAAACTAAAACTATAAATTATTGTTATTAACTCAAAATTAATTTAAAAAATGCTTACTTTTATTTAATTTATTTTGCATTTAATATGTTCATTTAAATACGAATCAATTGATATTGTTATAAAACTGTTAAATAATTCAATTTCTTTTTAATTATATAATTGATCCAAAGAAAACAATCTTGTGATAATTACTAATGTTTATTATATTTAGTGCATGCTGTGATTACGTATAAAAAGAAATACAATTATCAAGTGTGTTCAATTGTTAACTATATAATATTTTTAATACTATTGTCATTTCTGTTGGTGATCCTATAAAATAAATAAATTGATTGGAAGGACATCGTTATTTGTTTCAGCCGATCCTAAATGTTTGACACGGTCGTTATAATGTATTTCATGTGAATCGTTCCAGAGGCGACACGACGATGATAGTGAGCGTGTGCGCGGGGCTGCTGGTGGGCGCGTGGGTGAACTTCCAGTGCGGGCACATGTCGCCCAGCCCGAGCCCGCCGCCCTACACCATCATCTGGCCGTCCGTGGACATGCTGGGCTGCACGCTGCTGCGGACCACACTCGGCCTGTGCGGCGTGCTGGCCACCCGCGCCATCGCCAAGAGCTTCTCGTACGCCCTCATCTGCGCGCTGCTCGGCAAGGACAAGAACGAGCTGAGGAACTCCGCGGACAGTCTGGACAACAAGAACAAGATCTTCGTGGAGTGCTGCTACAAGTACTTCACGTACGGCCTCATAGGCTTCAACACCACCTACGTGTTCCCCAACGTGTTCGAGCTGCTGCTCATCAACAGACCCACCTACTACACCGAGATCTGACGCGCGCCCTCTAGTGCCGCAACACTGAACAAACTGACGCTCCTACACGAGATACATCTGCTTCAGATTCTTTTGAGGCTCAACTTTAGTTAATAAGTGTATACACGCTGTGGTGTCTCGCGATAAGGACCAGTTACGTCAATTAATGAAAAACATAACCAAAAACATAGTTACAAGTAAATATGTCAGGGGTCAGCTGTGTGATAACGAGAGAACAATATTATGTTGTATTCAACTAGATACTGAAGAACGGCTGACTTTGAAGTATACGAATATAATATAATAATTTTTGTTGAACAGTTACCTAAAGGTGAATTTTGATAGTTTAAATGTAAAGCAGATGATCAAAAAGAACTAACTAATATGATAGATAGCAATATGTATAGTAGTTACTTCACTCACCAGTCATAAGAATTGTTACTCTCCACGTAAAATTTTAGATGTATGAAGGGACAATTAAAAATTGTCCTCTTGGAGTTTATAAATATATTAACACTAAGGGTAAAGCTAACGTTTGTGGTGAATACGCACAACGAAAAGTATTCCATTATTTTTATATTTCATATTATAAAAAAAAATGTATGGGTATCTATCGCATACCAAAATTATAATCTTATGAATACATTTAATTTTAATTACTTGTTATAACATGAACCGGTTGTGAATCTCTACAATTCAAGAGTTATAACTGGATGGTCACGTGAAACTTTAGAGAACTTTGTTTACATCGTTTATCTTGTTTCGTTGTCGTCACTATAGAGACAAAAAAAATATCAGAGCACATCCTTAACAGCGAACAAATCAATGAAATAGTTAAGTGTTATATTGAATGAGATTATGATATATTATGCTTAAAATATATCAATACATATATACTGGGTGTTATAATTTCGAAACTGTTACATTACATTAATGTTAATAAATATTTTGAGTTCTTATCATCACACAGGACAGATATCACAAGAGTAAGTTCCTAGTGAGAGCACACGAGCCTCTATACTATGAGGATGTGTATAGATCGTGATACAACTATACAAAGTCACCAGTGCATGTAATATTCAGTGTTAGGTCAATTTACGTTCTCCACCAGCTCCTCTCGCTGTGAGTTATGACATTCCATTTTGTATTTATATCCTCGTGTGTATAATTTTAAATATTTTATTGTTATTATTACATTTTTTTTTTAATTTGTTGTTTTTTTACTTTGTTTCAACCACCCTCACATTTTTCCTATATTCACATGAATGTATGTATTTGTGTTTTTAAAAGGTAAACTTTTACTGAATCTATAATAATAAAATATCTTATAATGCTCTTGGAAATGATGTCAAGTGTAGTCGTCCAATCTTTCTTGTGACCTCTAAGTGCGTATATTTACGGTGCCTCCCCCTTATTCATCAGCTTCATGCCAGTGTCTCGTGGCCGTGATCAGCTGACGTGAGGATGAAATCAAAAGACGTTTTGTCGATAACCATGATGTTTATTATAAACGAGGGAACACAGACAGACGGACACACAGCCGGCGGGTCGGCGCGGGCGGAGTGGGGGAAATAAAACATTAGCTTCCTTAGATTAGTCGTATAACTTTATTTGGTCTACTTACAGCTCACAAACCACTTTAAATAACTAGACTAGCAGTCAAGGGCGCGCCTCCCGCGGTCAGGAGCCGACCGAGCGGCCGCCGTCTGATCGACTTTGATCACAAAGCACGAACGAGGCGGGCTCGACACACGCGGAGGGAGACGCGCGTACATACTACATGTAATAATAGAGGCTCGGACACACGGCCGGTCCGAGACACACAGAGGCGCGGCTAACACACACGCTACATGCGCCGGTTACATTCAAAGTCACATTATACACAGGAGGAACACACGGGGGTGGTGGGGGCGGCTGTGTGTCCGTCTGTCAACACTCCTCTCGGGGCGCGCGTGTGTCTTATAGTATATACGGCGCGCCGGCCGGTGATGGTCGTGATGAGGGTGAGGGTGGTGAGGGGCGCGGTCTGGTTCACGCCACGTCGATGGCGCTGGCGCTCTGACGGATCTTGGCGAACAGACTCTCGGAGTCGCTGTCACTGTCATACTGGAACAGACAAACGTTACGTTAATACAACACCGACACTGCCGCAACAAAGATATCATTATGTGTGCGTGTATTTACATTTTGTATGTTTGTGTGTTTGTATGTTTGTGTGTTTGTATGTTTGTGTGTGTGTTTGTATGTTTGTGTGTGTGTTTGTATATGTGTGTGTGTGTGTGTGTTTGTATGCGTGCGTGTGTATTTGTATGCGTACGTGTGTATGTGGGTGTTCGTGTGTGTGTTTGGTGGTAAGGGGAGGTGATTATAGTGGAGGCTCACCTCGTCTGAGTCCGAGTCGTCTCTGTCATCGAACATGCCCCTGACGCTGGTGGCGGCGACCCGTCCGGGCGTGCGGCCCGCGTAGTCCGTCACGTAAGGAGCGACCCCGGGACACTTCTCCATGAGGTGACGCACCAGCCGCCCGTCCCCGCGGTGAGCGGCCATGTGGAGCGCCGTCCAGCCAGCGAGACCCTCCTGTGGGGAATAATCACATTTATCAACAAGTCCTCGAAACGTGGTCACGTAATCACGTTCATGGAAATGATAATTAATTTAGAAAAGATATTATTTGAGATAAAGAGGAGAAAACTCCCAGGTGAGGGATAGCAACTAAAAGTATAATATTAGGAGATAAGGTCATCGATTTAAACACAAGCAAGGTCAAAGGTCTGATGGGAACAACGGAGAAAAAGCTTTCGTTTGTACAGAAACTGATAATATGATATTGTAAGCAGTGGCCGTGTGTGGTTACTGACCCTGGCGTTGATGTCGGCTCCGAAGTAGACGAGGGTCTGGATCGCCTCCAGGTGACCTTTAGCGGCCGCCACGTGGACACACATCTGACCTGGAACGAAACAAACACACGCACGTTAATAACGACACTTCACACAACACGACACGAAGTTTTAACACACAAACTACGATCACTATTAAATTATTGTTAAACGTCAATTATTACCATATTGCAAAAAAAACTATCAAGCAGTGACAATATGTTTTAAATTGAAAAATGAAATAATAAATTAAATATTTAATATTGGTGTATTGGATTCAGTTTATAAAGTTATTAAATTTTTAAAATGACATAACATCTGTGACATGTTACGTGCGAATATTCAAGGGAAGGACATTCATTATTTTAAAACGCAGAAGGATGGCTCTTTGATGATACTTGTTTATCGACAGAGATATCATAATAGATACATTATTACACAGTGATTAGATTGTTACTATGTATATAAATGTAGTATATATAAGTCATCTGTCTGTACGTGGACGGCGAGGATCGATCGGCTCGGTTGGATCCGATCCAAATATATTTCGAGCTCTTCAAAAATAAACCACGATACTGGCTTTTATAAATGAAGAATTCCAGTCACCAGTATATAAATATCTGTTATATAATAATAGTTGTGTCGTTATATACAGAACGATCCGGAATAGAAGATTAAACGACGTTAAGGATAATGTTATTTATAATTATATACATTAAAAGTTTCCTCGATCGGCACGAGTTCATGAAAAAACATTAAATAATAATATAACGCATTCATTAACCGATTTCAACAACAACTGTTCCTTGGTCGTTAGTTTAATGTATGAAGGCTAACATTGTTTTTGTACAGAGCCGGATGATGGAGTCTTGTACCGTTTCTCTAACAATAATAATAATTGAATCATTGTCGAGCCGAGCCCGCGTTATTTAAATATTACTACGAGTGTTCGTGTGTCCGGAGGCCGGGGGCCGCGCGGGGGGCGGTGGGGTTTTCCCAGCTATGTGACGAGCGTCGTGCGACCGCGCCGCTCGAGCCATATAAGGCATGCTATATATTTCTGCCGTTTCCGTGCTTTGAACAGTTTTTTTTTACGTAACAATTTAGGTTACGACCCATGGAAAATATGACGCGTTACATAACGTGTTTAAAGTGAGCTGCATCGATGAACAAATCCGAATGACATTAAAAGAGTTATCGATAATAAGTTTACGAGTATCATCAACGAGACACGCGGACACACGCTACGAGTGTGTGTATAGATACAGTCAATGTTACGACTCGACAACGATTGTGTTTGTTCAGAGAATGGAAATTCCGAAAGAATTATACTTGTTGTTTTATTAAAGCCCGGAGCGTGTACCCACAGCTCGAGGCCCGTCCTCCGCTCTCATGGCGGTGTTATCTCACAAGGTTTAGAAAGTAAGCTCATAACATACACGTTAACGAACATTACAAAAACCATTTGTAATCTCGAGATAGTGAGGCGGTGTGCGGAATTCCCCAGCGGGCGGCGAGCGACGCTCACTTTCACATCGGAATAACCCGAGGAGGCCTAGCAGCTAGCACTACCACAATATAATGAACGATTCACTGTAACATCTCGGTGGTTTTCCTGCCTGTTGCGGCCAGGTTCTCCGCGATATTTCGGGGAAAAATATATGTGATAAGTAATGAGGGAATTCAGATGACGAACGGCAATGGAAAGGTCTGTTGTAGTTTTCAGAAAACTTTATCATGTGATGATATATGTCAGGGCGAATTCGCTCATTAATATTTATGAACGTCAATACACGTGTCGTTGATTTGCGATCGGGAAAACCGTGTTGACGAGATGAGTTAGGTGAGGAGGGAGAATAGACGGGCCAGGGGACACGGCTTTCACCCGAGGTTGGTGCTCTGGTTACGTCACAGCCTGGGAACACCCAGCGAGAGATATACAACATGTAACATGTCTCTCACCTGATGGGTTATTCCGTCTTATAAAACAAACAAGTTCTCACGTCTGTGAGTGTGTGTGTGTGTGTGAGTGTGAGGTCGAACGGGCCGGGTAAAACCGAATGTAAACGCGCTGCCGGCGAGAGACTGAAAAGACAGAAAACGGAAAAACCGGACCTTTGGAATGTTTAGGATCGAGCCGACGGCCGCCCGATACGACTTTAACGACATTCACGCGCTCAGGGAAAACCAGAATAATATATACATAATGTACTGTCTTTACGATGACTGTCTGCGCGTAGAGATGTGAGGGAGCAAAATAATCGAGAGGAAATGCGTTCAGATGATTCAAGAGGTGTCTGCTTCTTGGAAGGTTATGATTAACTGTTGTGATGGCGGATTCATTGTAATTTTCCTGAATGCTGTGGGAATATCGCTGTACAGTATTTGTAAACATCCTACTGTTGATAGTAAACACGTCATCTCATGTCACGTCAGCCTGTCCCTCTGAAGGTGAACAGGTCTGAACAGGTTCTCCTCTCAGACATCCGCTCTCCTTCTCATTCATCATATTCTTACAATATCGTTAACATTTCCGTCTATACATTAAAATGCATCTATTGTATCTGGCATTTTACATGTTTACATTTGAACAGATATAAATAATTTTTGTATTTAGGTCGGCCCGCTGAGCAGTTCCAACAGTTGTTTACATTAAGACAAAGCGGGACAGAGGTATGGTTGGTGAAGAATGTATGATTAGTTGATTATATTAAAAAAACGATTCGTTTGACCATGTTACGAAGCATTTCGAATAAAGCCTTATCAGTGACTATAGAAGATGACATTTGACATCCGCTATCTGAGGTCAAGCGGTATACAGTTATCATAACAATATTTTTATACGTAAATGAACATTTTTTTCTGGAAATAATATATAACAAAAATATAATAAATACGTATGATTAATATTATGAGTTTTATTCAGAAGTTTTTAATACGATCGCTACTTTACTGACAGACCATTAGCCTTAAACAATTGTAACAAACAATTTTGTATGAAAAACATTAAATGAAGAAAAATGAAATTGGATAAATAATTATATCTATTAGTTATCATCAAATAATAAGCCATCCTTCACAACAGAAGTGTAGTGACGACAGACTGTATTCAATATGCATGAAAATATATCCCAAGGCAGCTATTAGTGTAACAGAAAAACAGAACTAAATTTCAACAATTCTGGTTGAGAAAAACACTACAGCGTTATAAATAAAACAGTAAAATAAAAATAGTAGGCAATAATAACATTTCACAGAGAAGGACACGCGTCCGACATCACATAAACGAGACGTTGTACGGCAAGTATGACGTTATAACTATTAATTGTACGGTAACGCTACTTCATATATCTGTAGTAAACTTAATTAAGTAGTTGAATGATTAATAATAGGAAATAGAATATGGTAATGACTCAAAACTGCGAGATCACGGAAATAAAGTCGTTTGTGTTGAGTTAAAATGAACTCACCTTTATAATTTTTCTGGTTCAATAGAGCTGATAACTTCCTGGGAGGTTGTTCTGGAACCGGCGCGAGTAACGCTTGAAGGCATTCGAGATGGTTTCCGGCCACTGCTTTGTGAAGTGCCGTCTCTCCGGTGACATCTCTGCAGTAGAGGGAGGCCCCCGCTCGAACTAACATCCTAGCGACCACAGCATGTCCGGCCATCGCAGCCAAGTGAAGCGCTGTGTGGCCGTAATCATTGGGCACATCCAGCCATGACTTGTCAGGACATATCCTTATGAGGGTACCCACTGATTTCTCACAGCCATGTACCGCGGCAATGTGTAGCTGCCTGTTGAGTTATTATATTATTACATTATGCTTACCTCGACAATACACACTAATATTTTCTACAAACACATAATTAACTTCAAATTGAATACTACAGGCATATAATAGTTCATCAATCTGTAGATTCTGAATCTTTTGAAGATATGATGTATCAATAATTACAATACAAAGTCCATAACATTAAGTAGTATTTAATATTATTGCAAATCATTGTCAGTGTTTTAACACCTATTGGAATGATGCAGTCATTGTTAGCATGATCCTTATCAAACAAATATATTTACTTTGGAAAGATAGTTTCTGACTGATTAGATTACAAATACTACATATTACACAGCAGATATTGTCAACTCGGTCAAACATTAACACACACTAACACATCTACAAAGCACACTTCAACTATTGACAAAATATATATGATCAGTACTTATGTTAAATAAACTATACATTGTTTATTTGTTGATACCACTTTTTGTTACTTTGTTCTGTATTAAAATGAATGCTACAAGGTTACACTTTATTTTTCTGTAATATAATTACCATCATTTATGCATGTAATGGAAATTTGCATTATATTAATGGCTTTTTCCTGGTGCTAGTGTTTGTAACTTTAACCAGAGTTTAATAAAGTCTTACAAGAATTGTTTGTTGAACAACATCTGACATCACAAATAATTAAAACATGTATCATTATGGTCTCTGATGTGGAATAAATTAATATAAATGAACTTACTCGTCGCCGTCTTCGTCCTGCTGGAACAGTAACGGTATATCTCGTGCTGATATTTCCTGTCTGTTATCAGTGTCAACAACTATTAACGTGCCCTCTGGAACGGCTTGTGGATCACTTATAGTAACATTATCCAGACCGCAACACAAATCAATACCACTTTCGAGCTCTGACTGATCACTGGCCACTTTATCACATTCCGACACATCGGGCTTGGAATCCAACTTGACCAAGTCGTCCGACGAATCTTGGTCCAGCTGTTCACTTAAAGGTCCAGACAGAAAACCGGAATCCGTGTTCTCGTCCTCGAAGATTTTCGTATTTTTGGCACTCATTTTTAATACACACTAATGATATAAAAGTTAATTAAACAAAAAGTAACGATTTAAGGCTCAACAGCTACACACATTCATGTTTTAAATATATTTGTTTTGTATACGTACTACGACCGTCGCGCTGTGAGAACGCGTGCGCAATGAACACTTTTGTCATCACAATTCACAAAATGGATAACGGAATGGTTCGAATGAATGACTCCAGTAATCAGTTCTATATAAAAGGAAATTTTGCAACAACTTTGAACTCTATCGACGTTGATAACTGCGTAGAAGGGGTTTTGGAATTTCACATACAAATCACGAGATTTATTCCGATAATACAATATCTAAAAAACAAGTTTTTTTTATTGGATTTTGTACTTTACACTTTACGATGACGAAATTTTTTGACAAATAGAGTTTATAATATTCAAGTGATAATGATTTAGACTATTAATAAGTTATATCTGCTAATTATGCGCGATTTATCTATCTAGAGTTCTCGCTTAAAACTGTATATTCTTAACCATGATTTCGATGTCTGCAAACTAGTTTTAATAATTAACATTATATTTAATTTATTTTAATATAGAAGGCCAATCTGGACAAAAAATAAAATAAAAGATGATTGACCTAAATTACGTTTTCACTAATTAAATTATAATCTCTTTTCCAAATTTCAAAGTATTTCAAAAAATATTTATTAATATTTTTTCTAGTAGAAATTTAAAAAAATAGTAAAGTAGGTATTTATTAATTTCATGGTGGATTAAGAAAATATTTTTAAGAATCTACACATCCAATTTGAACGCGATGCTTACAATGGCCGTTTATTTGACATTTGTCAAAAGTCATAACAAATAAAATTCAAATAACCTAATATTTCATTTTAAATCATATTTTTCTAATGCTTAATTTCAATAATTGTGGAATCAGTTAATTAGAATGTTTGGAGAAAAAGTAATAGAATTAATTAAAGAAGCAGAAAGAAATCGAGGAACACTCGATCAATTTAATGTAAGTGTACAAATCCTCGACTTAGAATGTTTGTTTACTAATATACAAAATATGTAACGGAATGGAACAAGATTTAAAGGAATTAATATACTCTTCTGTCATAAAGTTTTTCTAAACTGCAATAAAAATTGCTTTTAATCTTTCTCCATGAATTTCTTCTCGTATTATTACACTTACTATAAAAAGCAAATTTTTTTTCAGGATGAGACCATCCGTCAAATTATTGAGGAGATGCATGTACTGTTTAAACTAAATATGAATGATGCGTGAGTATATGTCGCCTATAAACCCTAGTATTACTGTTCAATGATTGAAACATAAATTTTAATAACATTTCTGTGATGGCAGGAATTCAACAACTGAAAACAAATCTCTATGGACGACGGTCCAAGTCCGGCATTCAGCTTTAGAACGGAACAAAAGATGTCTCCTAGCTTACCTGTACAATAGAATGAACAAAATAAAGACTCTCCGATGGGAATTTGGTTCCGTCCTACCTCCAGATGTTCGGGAACTGTTGTCTGACGGAGAATACGACTGGTTCTCCAAGTACTCAACAAACCTTGCTACTTACATGCGTTCTCTGGGTGAGGACATCGGCTATCACGGTATAGATCTCACAGAAAACCTCCGACCGCCAAAGTCTCTCTACATCGAAGTGCTCTGTGTGAGTGATCACGGTAAATTTGAACTGGAAGACGGTGATGTGATTATGTTGAAAAAGAACACGAGACATTTCTTACCAGCCTCCGAGTGTCAGACTCTTATAAGGAAGGGAATCTTACAACAAATAGTTTGATATTCATTGTACTTATATTGTTTTAAAGTTGTTTACTTTGTGATTTAGAAAATAAAATGTTGTATAGATTTATTTGTTTTTTAATTTCTCATCATCTAAACTAAACTGTTCTAATATCTGAAAGTTGTTGTGAAGGTAGAAATCAAAAGTGTAAATGTTTAAAAATTCATATCTTTTTAAAAATTGAAGTATCACTTCATATACTTTGTATTACTTATATGCAAACCAAGAAAGCTGTTTGTTTCTTGAGAAAATATTAGAATATATGTCTAACTACAGGAAAGATTTCAATTAAATATTCCAATGTTCAGTAATAAGGAATTTTGCAATTATTTCATTTAATATAAAACTATTAATTCTTTAAATATGTAAAACAAGTAATGAAGACGAAGTAATTGGTGTCAGCTAGCTAGATCTATAAGGCAAATTTTGCAGGGCTAACAAAATAAAATATTTTATAACTTATGTAGTAAAACCCAGATATTCTACGAAGAGAACTGAATATACATGTAACATTTTGAGCTTGAAAGTTAAGAATTACAACTTCAGTTTAATTCTATGTAGCAATCATTAATAATAATTATTAAATATTTTAAAAATGTTTGTCGTATTTTATTGTGTAATATTAAATGAACTAATGGCATCTTAAACATTCACAAAGCATACTATATTAGACCTCGATTCTGTTACTGAAATAACGGGGTCACGTGACTTCACTCAAAATATCATTTGTGACATGTTCCCGTGGGAACCAAACGGAATGCCTAAGAAAATAACTGACTATGTCTTCTCCTGGTATCTATGGTATATTACTATAAATCCGTATTGGAATCCATTAAGTAGTTTATATGTATAAGAAAAACATCAATCCATTCAGAAATTCATTGATCCGAAAGAAACCTTTGCGTCTATAATATAAGTATTATATTTTTTGACGCTGGCATTAAAACAATATTTGAAAGAGCAGCTGTAAGATGATGTAACTAAGTAGGAGTATGGTAAGTAAGCCGTGTAATTAAGTAGTTTAATAATATAGAGTGTAAGCGGCTTTAACTGGCAAGGTAAGGGTCTGAAGTTATGTTATAACTTAAACTAATGTCACCGTGTCCCCGCGGTAAATCAAGGGACGGTTAACAGCTGTTTACAAGAACACTGAACAGCCGACATTTTATAGTCAGTAAGTGGTGATGTGATTTACTCTTACTGCTCTGGGTAATTTGAAAGTGATTTATAATTAAAGCGACGGAACATATATTAAGATTAACTTTATAGTGTCTCGTAAAGTAATGTAGGTTCGTTATGTTTGGCCTTTGGGTAACTTAAATTGTAGTGTAAAGTTCCTTTTGTCTATAATAAAAGTGAATCTGACAATAGAAAAATATGTAATTTTTTTTCAATCTACTGGTTTATCCTTTGGTAAAGTTAAATATTTGGTACTGATATATATAAAGGCAACTATGGACATCGTTTGACAAAATTCGGAGCTAGTCTAGACTTATGGCAACATTAGTAGGAAAACATCTGAGGGATGTGTTAGTGTTGTCATCACCGAGCGCTTGGAGGCGGTACAAAGATAACTAGTTTGTTATTATTAATTACAGCATAAATTTCATGTAAATATGTATGTTCTAACAGTTATTATAAAAAAACGCTGCATTTTATGGGGAACACACTTTACATTAACATTTATGTAGCATAGAAGAAAAATCCTACATCTAACAATTTTCTTAGTAGACGACCTTATTTATTAACGGATAAGGTATAAAAGTTTAGTTTTATTCTAAAAAAGTATAATGTATTCAATAAGGTAGGGTATGAACGTCAGTGTATTATCTACAGAGCCATATCAAGCAACTAAAGCCTGTAATACAGGTCCCGGGTCCCGAGTGCAATAAAAACTGGAGAGATATAATTTAGCTGGATAACCAGCAGTACCCACCTGCGCCGGTAATATAAGCTTGTTCCCGGAAATAATGAACGAGATATCCGATAGTTCGTATAAAGCTGACTTTATATTAAATATCTTTTGCTCTAAAAGACGGATGTTTTCAAGATGCTAGTATTTCCTGTTGATAATTAATTTACAAGGAAAGCTTGTACATTATTATGTGTATTGAACACTCCGCGTGGGTCCGCTCGATAATCATTTTATTAATGTTAAGATATAACGCAAAACTTTCCAAAATTAAAGTATGCGTCATCACGAATGGAAAAACCGGGGATTGTGATTAAAGTAATGATTTATTGTTTTTTATTATTCGATAATATGTTACTTTTTTTTCTTTATATTGTCATTTATGTCTACCGTAATTTTTTACATACATACATCTGCAAATGATCTAAAAATTGAAACCGTTTGATTCATTGTTGAATAATAACTAAAGCCAATAGTTCTGTATCACCACAACGATGTACATATTGGACATTGGTATATATATATTATGAATCAACAATTATTTATAAGAAACGTACTGCAATATAATTATAAATTGAATAGGTCTTCAATATAGAAATCATGAAATAAAAGATACAAAATATTAGAAAAATATATGTTGTTACTTATCAATAGGAAATTTAATAAGATAGTGTTTCAAAACAATATATATGTTGAGGTTCCTTTACTTAGTCAGGAGATGTTAAAGATTTTCTCAATTAAAGTTGAATTAAGTTATTTCTTTAAGCCATCAATTACATATGATACATCTTCAGGGGCATCGGGTCCTAGTGGTATCTAGCATTTTCGCGACTACTTAAATTATATTTAAATGAAACTATGATTTTCGGGTTTATTATAGTATTTTACATTTTATTTAATGTTTCGGATACTTACCAGTTACCGTCATCACGGCAGACAATATAAGAGTGTATGTCAGTAAGCATGGTTATTTTCATTTCTTAATTTTATCGCATATTTGTTTGTTTGGAAGCAAAATATGACAGGTACCTATATCTCGAGGTCTGTAGGAAATAGAATTTTACATTTTGATGAGTTGATCCCAGGTGTTAGATAATTTTCTGCCATATTGTCTATAGAAATTAAGATGTTTTTATTTTTATTTTTAATAGCCTTTATATAAGATGTGTGGTTTTCAAGCCGGATGTAGCGACAAGTGGTTTGGATTATCCAATGTGTGTTCACACATCGATGACTTACGCGTGCCTATGATACGCATGCCTACTTTTAACATTTGAGATACGTGCTTTAACCCTTGTACCGATGCTTCTCTTTGTCTGTCCAATGTATGACAAGAGTCAGTCACAATCAAGTTTATATATTTACACCTGCTTGTTGTAAGGGAATGGTACTCTTGATAGGTCTCACGAGTGAGCTCACTTTCTTGTTATATTATTTTGGTTGAAACCTTCTTCAAGATGTTGTTTATTCTGTCAGTAAGTTCTTCCTTCACACGTGGTAATATGGTAGGTTCTAGTTTGTCTCTGGGTGGCCACAACTTAATGGAACTGTTCCTTATTGAAAACGTGAGAAAACGTTTTTGAATGTAAAATACTTTTATTTCGCTTTCATGTGAAAATGATTGCGTCCCAGAAATAACAGCACTCGGTTTATAAATACGTAACTAAACACGTAACCTATTACTGTAAGTAACGTGAAAAAACTAGTGAACGTTATTTCGTATAGAAACTTTGGAAGCAGATTACGATAAACTCAGAGTTCTTATACTATTAAATCATTATTGAGGTTGGTATTTAATAGTTTAAAAAAGAAAATTTTACATATAATAAAAAGATTATGGATAGAAGAAATATTCGATTTTCAACCTCCGGAATACCTACCTCGTTCTTGAACTGAGGGTCAAATGAGATAATTCGCAGGTGGCGGGTTCGAGGCCTGTATGTGTCAATGACTGATTTCATATTTTTTTTTTAATTAAATTCAAATTTTAACCTTTTTAATCTACTATTGTGTATCTTCATTAGAAACTCAAATTCTTGTAGTTTTTTAAGCGTATTTCTAATACTTGTTCGCTTGTCTCAAGAAGCGTTCATTTCACATTTTAAATATTGTTATTTTTGATAATATACATATTTTCTAATGATATAATTATCAACTATTTGGTCAACAACTCAATCATACCGATTATAATACACAAGTTGTTTGAGTGGTTTTATTTAGTCATATGATAATCTTTCTTTCATTATTCCTAGTCATTTCAAATATTCAAATTCCTTTTCAAACAATGCGATTAATCATAATGTGTGTTAAGAGTTTTATAAACAATTACAGAGCGGAGAGATGTCATTACATCATACACTGTAATGTTGGCAACATGAGAGTTATGAGTTAGGCCAAGTATTAGTGACTTAATGACTATTAGTTACAGTCTTATATGAGTAATATTACGATAATATATATGTTTGATTATATAATAGTTATAAATCAAACATTGACTCATGAACTCACTATATCTATAGTTAAATATATTTTCTGTGTTACTAAGTATTTGTTACTCTTACAATAAACTACCAAAATCTAGTATCTGTGATTTGAAAAAACAAATCCTAATACGTGAATTGTTTCGAAATTATAACCTCTGTATGATAAGCTGGGGATATGTTGATTTGTTTGTGTAAAAAAAAACATTTTGACAAATATATTTAAAATATTGTTTTTTCTATTAAAGTGAAATACAACGTAACATATAAAATTATCAATATTATATGACTAGCACGAAGTTTCACTCTGTTAGGTACAATTTATTTGTCCTTATATTTATAAACACGAATCATTGATTTCATTCGAGTTAATTTTAAAGTATTTAATTGTTTGTGAGATTCTTTAAACTAGAATGTATATAAAGTTTTGAAGATAGGTGTAATGATAAAAGAAAAATATTCAGACGTATTAGAGTGTACTACAATCTGATAAACAACAGTTGTTAATTAGTCATACATATGATTAAGATTGTATTTGCATTTCTTAAAACTAATTTTACGTAAATGTTCCAAGCCCAGTTTCATCATGTTTTGGTTTATTTCAC